TTATGTTAATTGCTACTACGAATCATAGCTTTAAACTCCATGTAGGGCTTGGTATCGGTTCCGTCATTTGGTCCGCGGCAAATGGAGAGAAAGACTTAGGCGGAAGTTCAAATTTCCTGTGAGTACACATGCTCTACATTTATATTTCTCCGATTCAAATACATACAAGTGTATATTAATTAGATCTCTCGTTGTTTGTCATTTATTTGTAGTGCGCAAAGCAAAAGCAGGGAACTAACTTGTGCGGCTATTACGTGTGCGAGTATTGCCACTGCCTTGCAGACCAAATCATCACCACAAGAGAGCTCGATGTACGTACAAATAAATTCAAAATTTCATTACGTAGCGATTTCTTGTTTAATTACTAATCAATTTCATACATTCATATAGTTTATTCGCATGAGGGATAACCTGACCACACACAAGGAATTTATCGCGGCGGTTCAAGAACAACTCATGGGATTCATCAACGAAGAAATCCTTGATCCCAAGGGTGAATTCTACTACGACGGAAACACAATTCACCGGTCCTTAGCTTCTGAGCTAGCAGCGAGTACTACTACGTCGAAATCATAGCTAGCTAGGACATATAATGGATTGTAATTAATACATGACTACATATGTTTCTATATGCATGTGTACACATTTTCTATAATGTAAATATATTTTGTTCATATATATATCTATATACATATGCATTTGCATAACATATATATGTATAAATACATATATATATGTATGCATATATATGTATTGAAACATATATATGCATGGTTTATATATGTATATATATATATATATATGTATATATATATATATATATATATATATATATATATGTATATATATATATATATATATATATATATATATATATATATATATATATGTAAACCATGCAGCAACAGGGGCATGCAAAAAAAAAAGGTCAGCTCTATCTTTAGTCCCGGTTGGTAACACCAACCGGGACTAAAGATCGATCTTTACTCCCGGTTATTTCACCCGGGACTAAAGATAGCGATCTTTAGTCCCGGATTGGTACTCCCGGTTTGGAAACCGGGACTAAAGGGGGGTTACGAACCGGGACTACAAAGGGTTTCTCCACCAGTGTAATCACTAAAAATAATTAGCCGTAATTGAGAGCACTCATACTAAGTGGTTAATGTTGAACTTGGATGTGCAGGTTCCATCCCTAGAAACCTAATATGTTGGGCTACGTTCACTCTGTCTTTTGTATGTGTTATGGTGAACCAATTGGCCGCATATGAACGTGGGGGTGAGATTGGTTGCAACTTGATATACTGAAACAAATGCTAGATGTACCGACTATCTAAAAACTTCTACATGCATGTGTGGGAGGTTCAGGCAAGCTCGTGCATATTAGGGCCCGTTCTTTAATTCCTACTATTATGGTAGCAAAATTATTGTGAGCATGTTTTCTAAGCTACTAAACGATACAATTTGTTATAAAATATTTCTTCATCAACATTTGTTATAATAGTTATTTAATTCATTTGTGCCTAAATAACTATGCATGATAAGCTCTAGTTCTCCCACCATCCATAATCTATCAGTGATGGCTCTTTAGCACAAATATATATACATATCCCTCGTGACCACGATCGATGATCGACAATACGATTTAGACACTGCTTAATTGCGCAGGTTGTCCCCCGGACGCTGAAATAATTTCAGCCACACCAATTTAATGATGGCATAATTAAAAGGAGTATATGTGAATATGTGACAAACACTCCTACTTCAATTAATCCTCCAGTCATGACCGTGCATATACTTTTTCCTGGTTTATCGCTTAGAAAAGAAGACAGCCAGAACTCGAGCCAAAAGATCTTCAGGCTCAGGGCAACGTACACGTACACTATTGTACGTGCAGGTACAAGTAGATATATGTGACTTGCTAGCTAGGACAAGTAGCTATTAGTATTAATAAACTTTCAATGTCTCCTACTAATTCATACATACGTGGAAGGACCACCAATCCACTATTCACCTCTTCCCATAATATAAAGGATTTTAGGTAAATGTGACACATCCTAGTACAGTGAATATGGACGGACCGTCTATCCAAATTCAATGTAATGGGATGTGTCATATCCACCCAAAATCCCTTATATTATGAGACGGAGCGAGTATATGTTTGGGCATCGATCGAGCAATATAACTATCCATCAATTATTTATATGGAGATGGTGATCGAGAAGTAATAGCTACACGTATATTATCTGGTTTTTTCTCGGTTGTGGTACCACCAGCGTATTTAACTCTAGAAAAAAAAATATAGGATATGTGATATTACTCGGTTTCTCACAGCTTCATAAAATCAATTCCCTATGAACCACAAAAAATTTTACAACATCCAGGACTTCATACTACACACACGTAACGTATAGAAAATCAAGCAGAATAACGAGAAGTCCAGATGAGAGACGAAAAAAAATCGCCAGTTCAGCCCATCACACCAACAAAAAAAATATTCGAGGCATTTACAAATTTGCCATCAGTTTTTTTAATATTATTAGGATACCACTCGGATGACAGTTCTAGTGGCATTTTTATAATTTTAGTGACAATATTGCAATAACGATTCAAAGTAGTGGCAAATTTGCAATTGCCCAAAAATATTCTTTTTGAAAAGTAATACTCTCTCCATATTTTAATGTATTACGCCGTTGACTTTTTAATCAACGTTTGACCATTCGTCTTATTAAAAAAAATTATGTAATTATCATTTATTTTATTGTGGCTTGATTTATCATCAAATATTTTTTAAGTATGACATAAATATTTTTATATTTGCACAGAAAATTTGAATAAAACGAATGGTCAAACATTGTTCGAAAAAGTTAACGGTGTCATACAGGGAGTTCTAGGACGTAGGAGTAATAAACAAACAAAGGAAAAGGAAAATTGATTTAGGGGCTGTTTGGTTTCCAGGGACTTATTCCAAGTCCCTGTCACATCGGATGTTTGACACTAATTTGGAGTATTAAACATATACTAATTACAAAACCCATTCCATAAGCTTTGACTAATTCGCGAGACGAATCTTTTGAGTCTAATTACGCCATGATTTTGACAATGTGATGCTACAGTAAACTTTTGATAATTATGGATTAATTAGGCTTAAAAAAATCGTCTCGCGGATTAGCTCTCATTTATGAAATTAATTTTTTTATTAGTCTATGTTTAATACTCTAAATTAGCGTCCAAACATCCGATGTGACATGGGCTAAAAAGTTTTAGTACCATCTAAACACCCCCTTAGTAGCAGCACTGTAGCAGCATTTCCATCGGTACGGAATTCCGAGGTGGGGCCCGCCCATCCCCCGCAGTTGCAGCGGGTGTCGCTGTCACGAGCCAGCTCGTCCCCCGCGTCCCCGCTGTCCCGGTCGCCATCGGTCGGTTCGCTGGCCCGCCCCCCAGCCGTACCGTACGAGCCGGACTACGGAATCGGCACGGCAAACCAGGGCGGCTCACGCTCGCATCGACCGGACCAGACACCACACCAACCGGTCGGGCTCGGGCGCCGCGCCGCGCCGGCCAAGGCGACCGGGTTTAGTAAAAGGCGTGTGGTGTGGTGTGGTCACGACGCGATGGGATGGGGGGTCCGGGTCGCCACCGGCTTTGTGTCGCCCTGTACCTGCCGGGTACACTATTCGGTACCAGCTTGTACCCTACCCTCTCGCCCCTGCCCTTATCTGCTAGCCTCACACCTACGTGGTGCCAACCATTTTGTTGTGCCGGTGAAATTAGGTACTTCTTCTTCTTCTTCTTCTTCTTCTTCTTCTTCTTCTTCTTCTTCTTTCCCTCCGCGGTTATATAGACGACGTGCATGCATCAGATGGTCATGAGTGTGTGACACACCGACGCGCGCTCATATAATTATCCGGTAAAAAAATTCATGTGTAACACACGTGCACTTAAAGGATTATCCGGTGGAAAATTCATGTGTACTGATGTGTAGAAGTAGCATTATGTATGCAAATAGACCGTTATCGTAGTTTTTCCCTCTTCGTGAATAATGTCAGACCTATATATTAGAAACAACAAAGTTGGACTCTTAACTATTATATCTTTCAATGCACAATGCCGAAATGTTTTCTATTTTGTACATAGTTATACAGAAGACGCGCATGCATCGTGCCGTGAGAAGGAAACACCCGCTAGCAAATTCACGTGTACTAATGGGTAGGAGTAGTGTTATGTAGTAGTATTAAATGATCCTATAAATTACCATATTATTGTGTGTTTTGCACGAGTGAGTATAAATAAATAAATATGAATATGAATGGTTTGACATAAAGCATGAGAGCAGTCCGAATATATACGAATTAATTATATAGTATGCCTACAATAGATGGTTATCATGGTTTGTTGCCATCTACTACGAATAATGTTAGATCTATATTAGAAACGGCAATAGTCTCAACCATTGGGATCTTAACCATTATATCCCTAAACGCACAACTTCAAACTATCGTGCATTGTTGTTGCACAATTTCAAATTGTCACGCATCGTAAGAATCTTGGGTGTAAGGCTTACTTATACTTTGTGCTATTCAATGGAACTTATGTATATAGACCTTTTTTTATCAGCAACATTTTATTGTACATATAGAGAAGATGTCACCCTATCTGTCACAAAATAAATTTACTTTCACCCATCCCACAAGCACCAATAAGAAAAGGACTGCAACACTCCCTCCCACCCAATTTTTCAAATCTCAATACAATTATTCCTCCCTTATTTACTCTCATTACATTTATATCTTTCTTTTATAAACTCCGATGCACCAATGCTAAAAATAATAAATTAATTTTAAGATAAATGAGATGAACTAAAAAAATACTTATTATACTAGGATGCAAGGCATAAAATATTACTCCACATTGCAAAATGGAATCAGTAATTAACTAGAAATAAATTAATACTCCTACCCTCCAACTTCTAAAGTGGAGCAACCACTAAACCCCCACAGCATTTATATAAGCCCACACCCCCCCTACCCTTGTTGTACCGACCGCAAACCGCAACAAAGCTCACGCCTTTGCCTCCCCAAACAACCCACCTTTCGCTTCATCCTCCTCCTCGCCGCCGGCGAGCTCAGCCATGAAGGCCAAGCGCCTCCTCAAGCGGCTCTCCCGCGTCGCCGACGACTCCCCCGCCGCCGCGGCGTACCAGCAGCTCCGGCCGAAGCAGGCGGCGGCGGCGGCGGCGGGGGGGAAGGTGCCGCAGGGGCACGTGCCGGTGTGCGTCGGCGAGGAGGGCGGGCCGGTGGAGAGGTTCGCGGTGAGGGCGGAGCTCCTCGGGAGCCCGGCGTTCGCGGCGCTGCTCCGGCGGGCGGCGCAGGAGTACGGGTACGGCCACCCCGGCGCGCTCCGCATCCCCTGCCCCGTCGCCGACTTCCGCCGCCTCCTCCTCCGCCTCTCCGCCGCCGCCGCCGCCGCCGCCGACGAAGGCGAATACCCCTCCTCCTACGACTGCTAGCTCGCCGCCGGCGAGACCCGCGGCGCCGCCCTCTTCTTGGCCGGGGCGCATTTTACGCTCTTCTGCCACTGGAGGCGTGTGGCCACACCATTTTACCATTTTACCCCTGGGTAGGATTAGAGTGTACATACAGGGATTGTGAGCTGCTGGTGATCTGATTGATTGCAGATGATGGAGGGCAGGATTGGGATTTGGGTACTAGATTTTTCACCTACAGATTTGTGATTTCTTTTATTTACTATTTGTTACTACTAGCAGTAGTATTATCTACTACTAGCTGCTGATGGATGGGAAGAACTATGGGTGTTCATTTTTTTCTTACCCCCTTGTAGTTCTAGGATTTGCAGTAGTTTGTGAGAGGGAGGATTTTGTGGTGTTCAGCATTAACCATACATGTAATCCTTGAGGCTAGTTTGATGCCATTTTATTATATGGAGGTAGTAGTAATTTTTACTAGAGCACAATGTTGTTGTGTTTCTTTAATTCCCTCACTCTTCCTGTTTACTTTATCTGTTGTTCTATAAGATCTAATTAAGAAAAGAAGTATAATAATCTTTCTCCCAATTAAGAGAACAACGCAAAAGATTCACATGATTTTTTTTGTGAACATCACGGATTATCTGGATTTTGACTAAATTTTGGTGACCCAGGCATTGAATTTTATGTCCTTATCTAAGTAGGAGTACTAAATGTTTTCTTGCAATGCATTTTGGGGGCACAAAGCAACACTAGTGCAAGCAAGCTGTGATGCCCTGAGATATTTGGTGGTCCGGCCTAAGATGGCAAACCAACCTACTGATTGAAGCAGAATCTGCTAAAGAAAGCAGGGCATTCTGCTCCCTTTGCAACCGTACCACTGCCTTTTTATTACAAATTTATAATCAGCGCCGACATATTTTCTGAAAAAAAATCTTCACAACCGGTTGTCAAACAAGTTTTTTTTTTTTCAATTTGAAATTCTCTCGATAGAAAATTTAAGTTATAAATACTCAAATATTGCAACATTTGGATTGCACTCCGCATGTAAAAACCTGACTAATCTGTACTCAGCCAAAATCCCTTATATTTTGACGCGGAGCCTAAAAGACTCTGCATGTGGAAATTATGGATGGAAAGATTGTTCAGCCTAATAAAGCAAGAGTTTTCGTTATTTCGTTTTCATGTCGAGAAGAAAAAGGTCCAGATTTCCATTGGATGGATGCTAATGTTTGTTTGCATGTTGAGATATATGGCCAGGACAGGGGCAGGGCAGGAAGGAAGCATCCTGAAGAACTTCAGGTCTTGTCTTGGTACGACCCTTAACTGATCGTCAGGCTGTCATGAGAAGGACGGCTTTGGTTTGGCACAGCTGAAAAAGAGAAGGGGAGATGAGACAGCCATGGCTGATGACTTGGCTGTTCATTTCTCCTGTTCACTCTTTAAGCTAGGAAACATTGGTATCAAATCGTCTTCAGCGAAGGCGATAAGTTGACCGCGGCGAAATCGCTTGATGCATGACATGTTGCACTGTTGCAGTGTCTCCTCAGTATTTTGCTTGATCTGAAGGGAAGATTTCGGGGAGAAAATCGGTACTGATATTTTACTTGAAATTTCAGGAAAGATATGTGTTTTCCTAGGAGAAAATGAAGCCACAAATGCATTTGAGTCATATTATGCTGTTGTTTCTCTCTTGTAATGCAGCTGTCAAAGTTGACACTTTCACCAAATCAAAGATATGGTTTTTTACAGTTTCTCTGTGGATGCTTCCATGAAATTTCTGAATCCAATGTTTTGTACCACCATATAAATAGAAACTGTGGTTTAATTCATGTTTTGCAATAGAAGAAGCAGCATCCCCATGTGCAGAGAGATTGACTAGTACTACAATTGACAATAACTACTTAACTGTGACTTAGCTCAGAGGGAAGAAGATTCAGAAGAGATCCAACCTACTTATACACCTAAAGCAACCAATCTTGCATTATTGTTATCAGCATCATGGTGCCCTCTTTCCTAATCATTGTGACAGAGCCAATTCTAAACTGTTTCTGAATCTCCTCACCTCAAAAGAAAGAGAGAAGAAACTGTTTCTGAATCTCCTGCTCAAATAAATCAAGCAAGCCATAACAACCACCTGAAAAATAAAACAGGTAGGTTCCAAATGCATCATCATGCTACAATTTCCTAGGTTTCAGCATGTGAGGGGAGAACAGAAGTGGAGGCAAACAATGAATACCACCAATTTCCCTGCTCATTTAAGTGCTCCCTGATATGATGATATATCACAGATACACACTCCATCAGTCACATGCATGATGCAGAGCAAAGAGATACAGAAGCAGGTACACACAGCTCCTTTTCGGTTTTGCCATTGTGGAAAAAGACTAGTCTCCATTTGCAGCACATGGTGAGCACCAGGAAGTTTCTCTCTTTCTCCCCTAGTTCACCTCCAGCCTTTTGCAAGCAAGTGCAGTGCAGCAAATGGAGCCATGGCAAAAATAGTGGTAGCAGCAAACTAGCAATGCACTGATGCAGAAGTGCAGATGCACAGATGGGAAGGGCAAGTGCAGTGCAGCAAATTTAGCCATGGCAAAAATAGTGGTACTGCACCTACTAAATTTGTAACTGAAATTCTTGTGTGTGTTTTTTTCTGGTTGCAAGAGATGATCATGTGAGCAGTGCAGAAGAGGGCACAATGAATTAGAGAAGAGGGTAGGCAAAGGTAGCCCATACGGTCAAATTGCCAAAGGCAGGCAGGCACATGATGGGGTTCAGACTTCAGAGGGGGTCTCAGGCCGGTCTCTCCTAGTGTAAATTTCCAGTGGTCGAGGGGCACCACATGGCACGCCGCATATGCAATGCAATGCCAAAGCGTCGTTTGCTGACACAGGGCACGACACGCTCGGAGCGCGACGTCGCCGGTGCGTCCACTGTTCGGGACGCCGGCGGCGTGGCCTCGTCTTGCGGCGACAGGCGAAGTTCACGGTGGATGGCCGGCCGGGGCGACAAGAGAGAGACATGGGACATGGCTGCTCAGTGCTCTTTAGCTGAAATCATGTGGTTCTCGTCGGCAGGGTTTCCTTTGCCGTCGGTAACCCTGCGCGGTTACCACGGGTACGGTAATATAAATACCACAGTAACCTCCTTAAATTCAAATAAACTTAAAAAATAATTTGAATATTTAACAAATTTTGCATGGTTTTATATTGTTACCACGCGATAAACATGCTTACCGCCAGCCGAGGTGCGATATCCCCAGCCCCGACGGTTTCCCGGTCGACGACTCGTCGTTCAGGTCACGATGGTTTTGATATGTAGGGCAGTATGTTTGAGCTTGGAGCGTCATGCGAAGCATGTGGCCTGACGTCAGCTTACAAGGGCCAAGGTTGGAAGGTACAGAGATGAACATTGAAATACAACATTTTTATGAAAAAAAATACAAAATCGATCAAGTTAAAAATTGATCGTTTTTAATTCGATTTTCAAGTTTTTAATTTTCAATATCACGCTTGAACCAAACTTGGAAAAGGACGGCGTCTAGAGATTGGAAGAATTACTAGTACCACGCAATGAAAAAATACGCACAAGACGGCTAAAATATAATCCAACTTTACTGAATCTAGTGAATTGCCGCCATACTTTGTACAAGACAAAAAAAAAAAGTCTAGCTTCCAACCAGCCATTTGTGTTCGCAAATTTTCAAACCACCTCTTAGTCTCAGCTGTATCGTTCAGTGTTTCGGACTAGCTCCACCAGAAAAATATAGGGCAATGCTGGGTTGAATCTTCACCTCAGAATAGGCAGTGGCACATATACCAAGTCGGCTCCAACTATTTTCTACCATATACAAAAAGATCAGCTCTTACTCGCTGCGCACCGAGTTGTACTTGTCAGCAAGCGGAGGTGAGGCCATTATCTTGTTCATCAGATTCTTGAACCTCATGCTGTAATCATTACCACTGCAGACGTAACCCAAAAGATCAAAACAAGGTAAGATACTCAAATTAGAATGCAGATGTCACTTTCGAACAAACATATGGCATGTATAGAATGGCTGTATCGCAAGTAAAATGAGGTAACCATTTGTTTCTAGTTATCGCTTATCAAGGGCAAAGAATAAAGATGTGGCGATTCACTAATAACGAGAAAGATGACAGCACAGTTAAAAGTGTGGTTAAACCAGAAAAAAAGTGTTCGGGGCAGGACAGAATGATGCCTGACCTTATGCGGCTTAGAGCAGCGATTGCTCGAAGAGCACTTCGAATCATGTCTTCATTGCGATCAACCTCTTGCTTCACTGCATCGCCCTTGGGTTTGTGATTTATAGTTTTCTCAATGGGGTCAACTAATGAGTCCAAAACTGAGACAGCATAGTAAGAATATTAGCAAAAAGAACTCAGAGTAGGGCATTTGCATCGTATGAAACATCCCCGTAAGGACCTAGATTAAGGCAACAAACCTGCCAGAACAGCAGAAGGGCACTTGTCTGCTAGCTTTGAGAGAATCAGATGGCAAGGCATTTTTACATCATAATGATCTACAAAGTGGTTCCATAAGACAACAAAAAAGCAGTTATTACAGCGTGTGTATACTAAGCATAAACAAGAAGATACGAATACTAGTGAAAAAAGCACTGCGAACAAGTAAACAAAATAAACATGACTTATTTGTGTGCGGTGTAAAGGTTTTAAAGATTACACACCACCTATACATCTATATTACTACAGTGGATTAAACGGAATGTTCGGTCAAAGTGATAAATTATTTAGTGTAACAGTACTTACCACCTAAACCAGATAAGAGGAAAGGAACGATAAATGATGATGGGTTCACTTGATCAAGACAGCTATCCAGCAATGTATCCACACATTCAAAGGCAGCTTTCCTGAGTTCAAGACCATCGTCCACAACATGCTTGAAAGGCCCAAGGTCAACTGTTCTGATCAATTCTTGCTGCACAGGAAAAAATCATTACGATAAGATGGATACAAAAAACATTACTTGATATAACAGTCCTAGCTCACAACAAAACAAGAAGTCAATAAGAAACTATACCTTAACAACAGTTTGGTCATACAAAAGAGGCAATAATTCAGGAAGAAGACCCTTAATCAAATTTGGCTTGTTGTGGGCAGCTGTACTCAAGGCCAGCACAGCTGCACGCCTCACGTGCTGCAAAGTGCAAAAGGAAACAATGAACACCACATCTAGACAGCATTAAGTAAAAACGCTGAACTGTGCTTAATTTCCATACCCTGTCACTGTCTTTAATCAACATCAGGAAGGTAGAAATCTCGGAGTACATAATTTCATCTATTTTTCCAGGCCGTTCAACAATTGAATATTTTATAGCAATGGCAACTGTAGCTCTTGTGTTTGCAGCAGGACTAGATGTGCGTTCCTACAAAAAAAAACGCAAGGAATGAACCAAAAGACCTCTAATCATTAAATGACAGTAGAACAAAATGAAGAAAATAGTTTAGATAGTAATCCCATTTCACCTTTAGAGCAGGGATTAATTTCCTAGGTTCAATCAGAGCAATTTTGCCTAAGCATTCTGCAACTACATTCCGAACTCCTTCCTCCTCACTTTCACAGTGATTAAAGAGCAATGCCAAAATCTTCTCAATGTTTGAATCCTGGAGCTCACTCTGGCCAGTATGGTCAACAGACTGCCGTGCAATTACCTGAGTGATTTAAAGTACAAGCAAGAATTAAGCAACAAATACATGGAGAATGCACATCAAACCAAATCCTAATGGGGACAAACCTCTTTCAGTGAATGAAGCAATAGATACTGTTTCTTCTGTTGGTTGTCAATCTGATTCAAGATAAAAGGCAAATACTTCGATAAATTTCCAACAGCAATGTTTCCGAGAGCATATGACGCTGCAGATTTGATCTCCTCAAAAGGTGACTGAAATGACTCAATGACAATATTCTCAATTTGAGCATGATTGCTGAGGTCCTTCCTTCTTCCAATTTCTCCCAAACATAACAAGGCCATGTGCTGTTTAGCCTGGTAAACAAAGATAGGCAGTCAGCTGAATACAAGGAGAATGATAGAGATCATATTTGAGTTATTTGAATTCATGCAATTAATAAATAACTAATACTTCAATGGCAATTTTCATGGATCAGAATCAAACAAGCACATCAACAGTTACCAAGGACTTTCAGACTATACAATTTAGGGTGATCCTATCAAATTGAAAAAAATAAAGCATGATCCCTCCAATTCAGCATAGTCATTTTTCAAAATTGTCGAAGGCATAGGAAACTAGTTAAGAGAGAATGTAGTATCCTATTTCACAACGCTATAGAGTTATAACATTATCTACATATAAAAGATGTTGATATATGAAAATCTATATAACTAACTTAAAAGGATCACCAAGATATGGCATGCACTATACCAAAGAGCAGAAGTACTACATAAAAGTGAAACAGTACAGAAGTTAAACAACACATCTGTCATCAAGAATGCGCCTTACAGAATTAGTAGTGCTGTCATCTTTTAAAATGCCTTTAAGCATTTCAATAGTTGAGGCACACTTCTGATCCCCAGCTGCTAAGCACAACACAGCAACACACTGTGCAATGGAAGACAATGCTTGTTTGGCAAGTCCACCTGACTGCGATGGTTTAGCAGTAGAAATAAGAGAATCCAACAAAGTGTCAAAGCTTGTATTTGCAGACTGGACCAGTGAAGCAAAAAATCTCTGCAGTGCCTGTGGCAGTAACATCCCATGTTAGTGTCAACATGCAACTTAAGAAGAAATCAAATATGTAAATGAAAAAAAAAATACCTGTAGTGCCTGCCCTTGCAAGAGAGCACTCCTGATCAAAATAAGGGCCTGGGGCAAAACCTTGTACCTCACTGCAAGACCAACATTTTGGATGGATTTTCTATCGACCATGATCGTGCAACAAAGTTCCAGCGCAAGAGCAGTCATGTGCAAATCCATGTCACTGCCACAGTAAATCAGGTCAGCACCAGTCGTCATGGTAGCCAGAAAATGCAGGATTGATGAATAACAACAAACCTAATGAGCGTAGAAAGTTCAGCAATAATAGTTTCATAAGAGGATCCAATTTGACCACCATACGCAACAACAAGAGAATTTAGTGTTCCCAATGTAGCCTGCCTTAGAGCTCTGTTTGCCTGTTGAAATAAATGTGCATCAAATAAAACTTAGCGAACAAGTTTCATAACTGTTATTTAAAAAGTTTTCCCATGAATCGTGACAAAACAAAGTAAACACTGGGTATACCTTTCGAAGGAAAGCCGTGAGCTCAGAAATGACATGGTCTAGGACACACGAAAGATCAATGCGAAGAGGTGATTTAGCAATCACTGCAAACGCCTGTAAAGGGGAAAAACATTTTATGTACCGAGCAGATCAACAAAACAAATAGGCACTCGATTGAAAAAATCAGGCAAATATAGAAAAAAGAACTTCTAATTTCAAATGTAGGCATTAAGCAAGTGATAATAGGTTATATCATTAAAATTCTGAGGAAATGATCTGAGCAAATAGATTGGTAAAATACGTTTCAACTAAGTTTGCATCACAATGGACCAACTACAACACAATTTCTCTTTCAGGCAATCTAGTGAGATGTGAAACCAGCACTTATCAAAACACTCGTAGTTCCTTTAACATCATTGACCAGAATATTGAGATACGCTTGGGGGTATGGGTTTAGTTAACTATTCTTTCCTACTAAAATCTTCAAACTGAGACTAAAACAAAATTGTGTTCCATAAAACAAGTCAATTAAGACTAAAATATAATTGTGTTAAAGAAAACAAGTAGTGCTCATAAGTAATGAATCAATAAGGAGATTAAGCAATCCTATCTGTCAGTAAAGGTGCAGTCGATAGCTTACCTTAACTGCTGTAAGTCTAGTTATTTCATTACCCATTCTATCAACAAGAATGGGAAGGCATGCCGGCAGTTCCCTTTGGAGACCATCACCAAACGTGAATACCACAAGGCTCATGCAAGATATGGCACACTCTTTAACTTCCTGAAACAAATATTTCCATAAGAGACCTGAGAGAGAAAGAGACAGATGAAGATAGGGAGGTGTTAATTTTGCTCAACCTGATCCTGATCCTGATTTGCCAAGCGGGCCAAGATAGCCTTATAGATTGGACCAATATATGGCCTGTAATCTAGAGTGCGTGCCTGTATCACAAACAAACAAAGGCTTCAAGAAACAGAACTTAGATTTTGTTCAGCAACATATGAAATACAAGATTGACCTCAAAATTTGGACGAAGTACACGAACTAGCTCTCCGCAGACTCTTAAAGCCTCAGCGGTGACTTTGTAATATCTGTCTCCAATAGCAGACAATATTGGGCCAGAAAGGGCCTGGAATTTCACTACGATCAATACAATGATGACAAATGCCATAAGTATATTTTACTGAAGATATACGCTACAGTTACCTGTATGTATGGATGAAACACAGCTGGGGAATGTGAAGCCATAACAAGTCTTGTAAATACAAGGGCTTCAATCTTCAGGTTGGAGGTAGATGACTTATCCTATGAAAAAGAAAACAAGTTAGCAACAAGTAGAAGTCCTGCACATAATATTTTAAGCAAAATGGGAATCACCAACATTCAAAGCCTTCTCAATCCCAGGAACAAGTGACCCAATATGATCAGCAAGACAGTCTGGCAGTACAACAACAAGCTCCTTCAATACAGAGAATGCTCCAACCTGAAATTTTATCTAAAATCAGAACCAGGTCGATAGACATGATTTGCAGTCAAAGAGCTCACCTTTGTCTTGATTGATTTTTCACGCAACTGCCTATTGATGGATTTGACAACCTTAGGTACTTCTTGTTTCAGCAACCATCTAGGGCTGAAAAGCAAAAGGATTGCCAACATGGGCTCAGTGCTCTAAACATGGTAGGATCAACTTCAAGCATGTAAAAGTATTTCACCAATAAACTGCATAAGATGCTATAACTTGGAGAAGTTGAAAATAATGATGCACATAAGAGCACAATAGACTTGCCTAGACTCATCAATGTCACCTTGTCCTTTTGTCATGTTACCAGTTTGGCGTAACAACTCAATAAATGTGTTAAAGATGTCCATCTAGAATCATATAGAAGCTTCATCAGATTGACAAACAGAAAGAAAACTCAGAGACTGACAAATTATTGATACAAAGCAATTACCTTTACATTTTCCTCTCTTTCCCTAAACCGTTCGATTAACTTTGGACAAGCCTGCATATTTTTTAAAAAAGAAAAACATCGAAGTTAAATGGGACACTCATTATTAGCTAATGGGTCACATTACTAACTGGTAAAAATCATTACAGAAACACTATCCGAAACATGGGAGAAATTTAAACATGCCATCAAACAGAACATTTTTCAGATGATCATATGTTGGTTTAACATGATTATGTCAATATACCTCCAGATACATCTTAGACAACATTTCAGGACGAGATACTATAATTGCAGATAAGCACTTTGCTGAAGCCCTCCGGACTTTCCAGCTTGCATCCTCATCATCTGTGTATTCATTTGCGCTCTCACTGGAGAAAATATCGAAAACATATTTTGATCAAGTAAACAGATGCTATTTATCTATTACTGTAAGAGCATCAATTACGTACTCATCATCTTCCTCATCCTGAGCCTCATCATCAGTGTCCTCCTCCATGCTATCAGTGAAATTTGGATCATAGCTTATATATTCCAATGCAAGATTTAAAATACCCTCACAATATGGAGATATATCTCTTGGACACCTCAGCATAAAACTCTCGAGGGCCTACATTATGGAAAAACCCACAGGAGTCATACAAGAGAACACTCGTTTCATGTAACATTGGAAAGAAGAAAATTGTTCACCTGCAAGCTGTATTCACGGAGCTCTTCATCATTTTCCGATGCACTTGTACAATAGTTTATGAGCAAAGGAACAGCTTCAGCAAGGTGTGGCCCAAAACGGTATCCAACCGAGCGACTGTAAATGAAAATAATATTGAATCAAAACTTGGATTGCCGCACACCAGATAAGAACCACTAAATCGCCAAAAAATAGTAAATATCTGGATTTCAACTGGCTAGATAAGTTTGAAGCGTGAACATGATTTCATCTAAGCTATTGCGAACAAATGAGTGTGCCCTGTTCCTTAAAAGAACTACTCAAGGCATACATGTACAGTTGAAAGCCAAAGTATATACCTTAGAGCGCCAATCATCTGGATATTTGTTCGGGCAATTTCAGACTTTGCACTTCTATTTTTAAGCAACTGGACAACCTCAAAAGTTGCCTTGGCTAATAAATCATCAGACAGACATGCAGCAAGTGATGCTGAAGAAAAATAGCATGTTAACAGTCAGTGTAAACACCTTTACAAATTCAAGCCACCCAAAAAACCAACATATAACAGCACAGCACATCAGTTCGACTTACCAATGCAAGAAATAGACTTTTTCCTAACACTTGCTTGGTTAGAGCTCAACTGGGATAACAAGGCAGTGAGCATACTATCATGATCTTTTGTGATCAAGTTGCCAAATCTATGAAGTACATCCCCCAATATATCAAGGCACTCGCATTTCACTTCCGCACTTTTTCCCTGTCAACAAAAGAAGAGTTATCAAACCTACCCAAGACATCCCATGGTATGACAAAACCAAGTATATGCTACTAAGCCCCAAAATCCATATATTGGTTTATCTATTATAGGCAGGTGTTAAACATGATGTGCTGGCAAAGGCAATTCAATAAACCGCTCTTGTTTTTTTAAGGTAAAGACGCATAGGTGAAAGCTAATGTGTTCTTATAGTTATGTGGATAGCTAGAAATTGACAGATAAAACCTCATGGACTGTGCATGGTCAGCATCATTGCCAGATTTGCAGCTAAAATCTATCATGTGTTAGGAAGGGTAGCACAGTTTCCTAATTAATTTATCCAAAGAAAAGATTGCTCATGGTTTATCATTTGCATTGTATTTGCTGCAGTAGCTAAAATTGCGGTTTGAAATTTATGGTGGCTAGAAAAATCTAAAAATATTGACTGGTCTGGAAAACTATCCAACTTTCTGCAGTAGCGGAAGGTACTGTACCATGGCACTTACTATCATGGCTCTCAAACTAAAAACAAATGTTAAAACACAATTTCTTTTTGGCTCTCTGTGCTGCTAACATAATTCTGAAGTTGTGAAGCCAGCATATAATGACTTCAATTGAATATGGCAAGCAAACATGGCTGAACACCTAACCAGACTGGATGAATAGGGAGGTAAAAATAAATACATAGTTACAAGGTTTGCAAATGTGTTCTTTGGTATACCTCAAAAGTATAATGCACCATCAGAAACGCTGTAAACTTAATTAGCAGGCTGAAACTTTCAATTGTAATCACTGTTATCAAGTCGCCCGACTAATCGTGATTAGTCATAGATTAGTCGTAAAGTCAGTCAAGCTAGTCGACTAAAGAGCCACGACTCGACCAAACAGCAAGTCGTGCGATTAGTCGTGGTAAGTCGTGGTTAGTCGTAGATTAGTCATAAAGTCGGTCGTAAATTAGTCGTGATTAGTCGTAGCAAATCACCAATTCACCATGCTAATTGGCTTATTGTGTTTAGTACTTTAGTTTTATTTCTTGTTGACCTATTGTCTTGCTTTGCTACTCCATAGTCCATAGTTTATACTCCATACATTTCTTAGCACAGTATAATAGTAGTAAAGATTATATATTGCATCCCCTGTTTTTTGCATGACCAAGTCATGGACTAGTCGACCAAGTCGGTCCAGGGGTACCTCGACTCGACTTTACGACTTGACAACCATTATTGTAATAGCAAATACAAACTATATGGTTCGAATGGCACCCGCCGCAAGATTAATATGGAAGCATGTTTTACCACAATTAGGAGACGAATTGAGAACTTACAGCAGTGGCGCCCTTGATTAGCTGTGGGGCAAGAGACACCAAAATCTTTTCAGCAAGTGATGTTGTCGTAACTTCCACAATGATTGTCTTCAGAGCAATACTAGCAGTGTCTCGATGTTGGTCCTTTCCATTGAGTAACTTATCACAAAGAATGTTGGTCATCTCCACCACCCTATCCTCACCAACCTTCTTGACAAGTGGAGCCAAGCTAACCAAGAGAAGTAATAATACAGATTAACATAGCAAACCATGAAGTGCAGAACACCGGAATGTGGAAAACATAACAGAACAATTGGGTATCAAATTGCTATACTAAATGTGCTTCAATGGATGCAATAATTGAGGCATGAAGTTGCAGTGAAAAAAACAGCAGTTAGAGATATATACAGAAAAAAAAAACATCTACTGTAATAATCAATGCCCTATATTAGTCCAGAAAATTGAATGAGGCAGTACAAATCCTTAACAATAGCAACTGCAACTAACATAAATTACAAAAGTAGCGAGATCCAAATGACAGTGATTTCTTGCAATAAGGAGCGGATGATCACCATTAACAAAACAAAATGCTAATCAGACGATACCGCTCTCAATAAAGGGAGAAAGCAATTAATGCATACCATTTAACAGCTAAACCAGAGACATCTCCTGAAGCATCTTCCAGTTGTTGAAGAACGGTAGTAGTCAACTTTGGCTCGATGTCTTGGTCAGCTTTGAAGCCCTCTTTGTTCAATTCGCTAAGCAAATCTGAAGTTGCCATATATCTGTAGTCCTTATCTTTCCCTGTCATCTGAAAGAAAATTTTACACAACGGATGTTAAGATCAAATCATAGAAAAATAAAGAGCAAAATTCAGGTTTACAGTTCACATGCAGATCAGTGAAACCCATACCTTCTCCAAGATGGTGGTTATGTTCATGTTTGCCATTTTAGCTAAACCGTATCCAAAAGTCCTTTTCCGCGGAACTAATCACTGTTGCCCTGCTGGAAATAACAAAAATCAAGTATAATGAGATTAAGTTCCATTACTGGCAAGGTGAACAGCGCACATTGTTGAGTGTTTGCATGCTGGCACAGATGCAAAACTCATCCACTGCCAAACTCCAGTTCACGATCACAGTGAGAATCCTCAGTTCCTCGCTCCTTTAAAAAGGAGGTGGGCGTGATGGTGTGGTGTGCTCTATTCTACCCCCACTTCGGAAAATCAGAAGATCCTCCTCCCTGCTAGATCTACGGCGATACAGAACCGAAAACCTAACGCCACGAGCGAATCATTCGGATCGGGCACCTCGGGTTCAAAGCCCTAGAACCACATCACGCCTGCAGAAAACCAGTCGAAGCAGCGAAACAAACCAACCAACCAACCGGAGGTACCAACCTAGCGATGGTGAGCCCTTGACGACGACGACGACGCCGGTGGGGGGTGGGGGCTAGTCGAGCGGAGGGCGGCGTCTCCAGTCCAGTCCAGTGAGTCCAGCACGCGGCGCGATCCCAGCACTCCGGGGCCCGAGACAACGTAGCGGACGGCGGGAACCGCGGCGGGGGGGCGACTCCACGCGGCCGGCTCGCCGGCGGCGAGGGGTCGGGAAGGGGAGGCGGGCGGGCGGCGGCTAGGGCTTGGAGAGCTCGCTGTATTTTTTGCCGTCACGGCCCTGACGCCGATGGGGGATTGAGGGGTTTTGGGATCGAAGGGTGGCTTCTACTAGTAGGCTTGGCAAGGTGGGCGGTTGGGCTTTTGGGAATTGGGCAGCCTTGGATGGGATATGGTTTCCTATCTTTTCCCTGAGGTTTTTCCCTGTATGCCATTAAAAAAGATGATGTTTGTCTCTGTGCCACTAAAAAGTTGGAGCCTCTTTCTATGCCATCATCGAACTTTATCGCGCCCTCCACACTATTCCGTCGCTATTCTGTGTGGGTTTAACCGTTTGGCAGATCTGACATGTGGGTCCGGGCAGAAAAAATGTCGCTCTTACCCTTTCAGAGAGAGGACAGGCGGCGTGGCGGACAAGCGGCCAGGCGTGGCGCTGAGGCAGGCGAACGGCGCGGCGGCAAGGTGGCCAGGTGGCCAGCCGAGGTGGGCGGCGGCAAGGCCTCCGCCGCAGGGAGCGATGGCCACCGCCACCTCCATCCACGCCGCCCACCGCAGCCAAATCGAGATCCCTCCCCGTCCTCCAAGCCGGCGACTCCCTCCCCGTACAGCGGCGGCATTGGCGTCATCCGCCACCTACAACTCCCTCTGCTCCGCCATCAAGCGCCACTCCCGCAAGCTCGACACCATGAAGGCTGGCTCCTCCTCCGGTGCTGACGCCTTCGGATCATCCCAGCCCGTAGGCTCCTTCTCGTCGCGGACCAAGAAGATGGATGAGGAGCGGCGGCGGCCGGGGAGGGATCCCTTCTCCTGCCGATCCGGGTGTCGGAGTAGGCCGGCAGGGGCGAGATGAGGAGGAGCGGCGGCGACGGCATCTTCCCCACATGTACATCTTCCCCGGGCATTCTCTGGCCGCTCCTTGAACACCCACATATACATGTTCTCCATGTCGTGCTGCACTAGGAAAGCATCCAGTGTAGCATTGTTACCGTTCCCACGGCGGTGGGGGCCTTCGCCTTTCCGTTCTTGTCAGCCAACATGACCGGCTTGAAGTAGTGGGTGAAGAAGAACCACACGCCCCATATGGTATCATTCCTCTTCACACACTTGCAGGCAGCGCTGGAATTGGAGCCCTTGGCATGTGATACAACGACCGTGGTGGTCGCCGCTGCCGGGGCAGGGGATACGCTGGTGGCAGCAGGTGAGTCCGAGTCGTAGAGCTGCGGACCGCCGAGGCCGACATCTAGCATGTCGACGTTGGGGTCGTGGAGGGCGCCGGCGGCCGCATAGCAGCTACCTCCTCCTCTCCTTCTCCGTGCTCGCCATCGTCGACCAGCTCATCGACTTCCCACTGCTCTCGTTCACTATCCGGCCGGACGCCCTCGAGCATGCCACCATGTACCTCCACCTCGCCGTGTACGCGTCTGTGGCGCTCGCCACCGACGGTGTTGCATCCTCCCACCATGGCGACGCGCAGGCGCAGCTCGGGGACGTGGTGGCTGCGCTCGCCGCGTCGGTGTTCGGCCAGGAGCTGTTTCCCTCCTCCCCCTTCCTCGGGGCCTTGGGGACCAACGAACGAACATGTCGGCCCCAGGAACGAACGGCACCGGCAAGAACGCCTAAGGGCAACTAAGTCATTTGGCTGTGCCGTTACCCATCGTTAGGACCAAAAACGGACGGAATGGTGTGGAGGGCGCAATAAAGTTCGACGATGGCATAGAGGGAGGTTCGAACTTTTCAATGGCACAGAGGCAGTCATCATCTTTCTTAATGGCATATAGGTAAAAACATCCTTTTCCTTTCCTTTCCTTTTATTTTCTTCTCTTTTCTTTTCTTTTTTTTAAAAAAAAAATGGTTCGGAGATTTGAAAATATAGTGTGAGTGTGAGTTATAATCAACAAAAGTATTTCTAGTGGTAGACGGCGTACTCATCAACAGCAACATGTCCGTGGTGACTTCGTTAATCTCAAAATGTGTCGGTCCGGTTTCCCGGGTGCTCGTTGTGCATGGGTACGATCATAGGGTGAGTATGCGCGCTTTCATGAGCGCATGCATTTATACTGTTTTTCTGAAAAAAAAACATAAGTTTTTATTATGTATTTGTCTTATCTTTCGCTTCAAAATAATTCATACGGTTAAATCAGTTGTAATCACATCTACATATAATTTAAAAATAGTGTGATATAGATGGTAGTAGTAGTGATTTATATTATATGCAACCAAGCTAGATGTTTTTTTAACCCAAAGCTTCATACCGATGCTAAGTTCAGGCCTTATGATTGATGTTGATTACATCTAGGCATGAATGTATAGTGTTACAGTAAGGCATTGTTGTCTTTCTGCAGCTTTTAAAATTGAATTAGAATTAGTGAACGTGTTGCCAGATCGTCAAATAAAACCGTGGCCATGTCCTACTAAAGTAGCAATTTAATTGGTCACGTAGACGGTCAGAGTTAGTTCGTCTCTGTAACTCTCATTCACGGTTGGTGCCAGTTGTTGTCGTGACTTTGTTCCTTTTGCTTATGTGGGTATGTACAACCATACGAAGGCATACAATAAGTTATGAAAAATCAAGCTGCAGTATGGATTGATTTTGCTATCCTACTATGTCCATAAGTCATACGTGAAAATTTCCGATTGAATTTGTTTTAAGATTCATGTCAACGTGGAAGGGTTTTGCTATCCTACCATGGACAAAATTTAGACGGGGAATCTGTTTTGTTTTTTCATGCTAGTAGCATATGGAGTGAAAAAAAGAAAGGGGATTTTTAGTTTATCTTCGGATGGATATAGGCCATCCGTTTATTTTGATCCACTGGATCACATTTATTTATACTACACCATGTAGTATGCACAGCAGAAATTGTATAGGGTTAAACCTGGAAAAAATATCCCACGGCAGTTAAGTAAATTTGCCAGCTTCAGTGACAAAAACGACTGAAATTTAGCAACTAACTCCTAGTCACCTCACTGCAAGTGGGCCAGCCCTAGCGCATGCAGGGTTTTTTTTACAGGAGCGCATGCAGTTCTACGGGCCTCATCGTTTGGCTTTTTTCGTAATAAACCAAAACGGTTTATTAGAAAATAAAAATAAATTTGTAGTTAAAACTTTTATATATGTGTTTTTGGTGACTTAAAAGTCAATGCTGAAAAAAAAACTACGTTAAAAATATCTCAAAATCAATGCCAAAATTAAGTTTAAAAATTTAAATTTTGGCTTTTTCTTTGGCTGAATAGGTATCCGATGGGAGACCATGATTCTTGGACAGTTCAGTGTGAAGTCTGATTCTGTTTATTATTTTTTGGCTTCTGTTTATTGTTTGCCTCATCGAGAGAAGCACAAACAAATTTCTAAAAGATATATATTGGAAATTTGATCAAAATGAGGCCTCTAACAGATTCTTAAACATGTTCGCAAATTTTATCCACACCTAAAATCGGTGCGCGGTCTTTTATCCGACCATGCCAATTTATTTTGGATCTATCAAAAATATGGCGTCAGATTTTTAGTTAAAATCTAATATAATTGCATATGTAAATCAGTGTAATTTCATATCATATGTAATTTAAGAACTTATATTATAAATACATACTAATTATTTTGGGTTAATTTGATCCATGCCACTGCAACTTTAGCTATTAAAAAAATACCATTACAATTCACCTATTTTCACCTATTTGTAATTGTGCCATTAAAATTTTATAAAAATTAGAACCGTGCCACTCCCGTCGCATTTTCTATCCTTTTCCGTCTTCTCCCGTTCTCCGTCGCAGCGCGCCGCACGCAGCGCCGCCGCAACCTCGGTCAGCCGCCGCACGCGGCTGCGGCCGGCGGCCTTGGTCGAGGAACCCCACGGCCCCTCCACCATCCTCACGACCTCATCCCCACGCACCACTGGCGCCGGCTTGCTCGAGTTCGCCGCGGACTGGACTGAGGAGGAGACCGACGCCGCTGGCGAGTTTTGGACGTGCGGATAGGCGGCGGGACCAGGAGAGCCGGCCTCCTAGCGGCGGCGGCGGCGGAGGAGGAGGCAAGGCGTTGGTGCGGTCGCAGACCCCGTGCCGCCGCTGCGGCTACTGCTGCTGCTGCTGCGGCTCCGGTCCTGCGCGCCCCCCGCGCCGCCGCGGCGACGCCGCCGCCGGCTGCGCCGACGCGTGAAGCCGCGTGGACGCCGTGCTTGCCACCGCCGCCGCGGTTGCGGTCGGCTGCTGCTGCTGGACCACCCACGGCTTCGCGCCGATGGGTACAGCGCTGCCGCTGCGGCCGACGCCAACGCCGGCTGCGCCGACACCGTGCTCGCCGCCGCTGCCGTCATAGACGTGCTCAACTTCGTCCAGGTATACATATACGTGATTGACTCGTACTCGCATCCACTTCATTGATACATCAATCGTGCTGCTGATTATATATACTTCGATGATATATATCAATCGTGGTGTTGATTAGACCAACAACCATGAGAGATTGAGAGAGTCCACTTCCTAGATGCAGAGCACCTGTGAATCTTATGAGAAAAAAACAGAGATTTTTTTCTTCGATTCTCCTTTTCTCTTTCTTTTTTCTTCGATTTCTTCTGTTTTTTGTCTTCCTAATGGCTGACGTGCCGTGGCTAGGCATGACCGGCGGCGTGATGCGGATGAAGCTGGGCGACGGTGGCGCGGCCCGACGAGGGCGCGGCGAGGTCGGGCGGCGACGCGACCTTGCGGTGGCCGGCGAGGTGCGGATGGCGGCGGGGCGTGGCCACGCGGTTGCGGCGCGGCCCTGCGGTGGCCGGCGAGCCACGGATGGCGGCGGGGCGCGGCCACGCGGTGGCGCCGCGGCCCTACGGTGGCCGGCGAGGAGCGGCGTAGCAAGCCGAGGACGGCTCGGTGCGGCATGGCTCGGTGGTCGGGCGCCCCCGCGGTTGGCGCGAGGCGGATGGCCGGCGCCCTAGGCGGTCAACGACGCGATGGTCGGCGGCGCGGCAGCCGAGCGCATGCGTGACGGCGGCGGCCGACGTTGCCTCTCCTGCTTTTCCCCTGTTCATTTTCTTGTTCTTCTTCGACCAGCCAAAAACGAGACGAAGACGGCAGATAGAAGGGAGGAGACGGCAAACGTGACGGTAGTAGGACGGTTTTAATTTTGTAAAATTTCAACGGTATTTTTCTGAATAGCCAAAGTTACAGTAGCATGGATTAAATTAAGAAAAAATTATAACCATGCCATTATAATTTTACAAAATTTGAGATATGCCATCCTGACCCACATGTCATTGACTCATGTGGGTTATTGAGATACCGATGGTATATCTCAAACTTTGAAAAATTATAATGGCATGGTTACAAATTACCCTTAAATTAACCCAATTATTTTTAGCGAATCCGTTTATTTTCTGGTGGCGCCAATCCTTTTTTTTTTTCGCCCGCGTCTTTTTCCCCACTCTCGCGCCGTCGTCTTCTTTCTCTCGCTAGCTACGAAGTCCACCCGAAGAAGTCGCCGTGCGCCGTCTCCCTCCTCCGTGCAGGCCCTCGCCTCCCCTCGGCGGGGCCAAGGGCGCAGCTTCCCTCCGCCCAGATCGGCACGGTGGCCCTCCACCCCGTGCGGCGGAGTCCCCGTCGACGTAGGGCGTCGCCGGCCGGTCCTCCGTCCAGGGCAGCGCCGGCCACCTCAGCTGTCCAGTGTCTTCCGAATCCAGGGCCAAAGGTTCTGCTTGCTTCCCCTCAATCCAACATCTATTCCTCCCCGACGTGAACGTCGCCGGTTTCCCTCTGGCCAAGGTGAGCAAATGCTGTTTAATTTGGTGGTAGTAGTACTTGGTTGAAGCAACTGCTGAAATTACTTGTCTGGTACATGTGTGCACAAAGATTGTAATTTTGTTCAGTTTGAGGTTCAATTACAATGATCGATAGGGCCAGACCTGAAATTGAAGTTAAATGCTACTAGTAATAATTGTACTAGTTGAATATAAAAGAAACCATAAAAATCAACAAATGCAGATGAATCTGTTTCAGTTTTTTTTTGAACGCCGCTGTTTTAGGTTTTAAGTTACCTAGACAGAGACTTTCAGTTTGTTTCTTTGGTTCAGAATTGTGGAACTTTAGGAGCCTATCATGTTTTGATCTGTTCATTACCATGTATGTGATTTATATCGTGGAAGATGATGGCTTGGCGGTATAGTTTCAGTAATCTGAAAATCAATTCACTGTACAGAATAAGAGTGCTCCAACTTCAGCCTCAACTTTTTATATTCACATTTATAATTTTAAGTACTAGTATATTTATACATAGAAAGTTTATGTTGTTCCTCTGAGATTTGATGGGTCAGAGTAAAAATTCAGTTCTATGATTCTTGGACAGTTCAGTGTGAAGTCTAATTCTTTTTCAGTTCAGTGTGAGAACATGGTAATGTGCTTTTTAGCATGGAGGATAATGGCTTGTCATTATAGTTTCAGTTCTATGAAAATCAATTCACTATAAAGAATTGTCTGTAGCTGCTTATGTGTACATCTAGCAAGCCCATCTGCGTGCGTGGAAAGAAACTCGCTGCCCACCGTAAAAAAAATCGATGCAACAAACCAACCACTCATCCCACCTTGCTGCTACGTGGCCAACCAACTAATTTTTAGGATCTGATTAGTGGATTTTGAGCCGCCCAATTCTTTTTGGAATGGTCCCAATCCATAGTTTTTGGGAGCTAATTTTTAGGGAATGTGTTTTAAAACATTTATTTTGAGTTGAAGAGCCATAATAGAAAGTGCCATAGTACATTACATTTTTTTTTTCATTGAAAGATCATGTACATTTTCATGACTCGAAAGTTTACTCTTTTTTCAGTACTGAAGTCTGAAGATCTGTTTCATCCACCCTCCTATTTTTTTTTTCTAATAATGGAACGGGTAATGGAATGTGATTACCCGGCTTCAAAGAAGAACAAAGTGGTTCATCCAATGGATTGCGAGATGAAGGAAGAGCCAACCAATGCAGCAAGCATGAATCAGCATTCTCTCTGGAGCCAGTGGCAGCTCCTGGATTCCATCCTCCCAACTGGCGGGTTCGCGCATTCGTATGGCCTTGAGGCCGCAATGCAATCCCGCATGGTGAACAACCCAGAGGAGTTGAGGTCATTTGTTGTCCAGGTCTTGGAGAACACTGGCAGCCTGTTGCTTCCATTTGTGTGCTGCGCTAACAAGTCTCCTGATGCCGCAACGTGGGTGAAGCTCGATCAGTTGCTGGAAGCTATGTTGACGAATGAAGTTAGCAGGAAGGCCTCGATGTCGCAAGGCTCGGCTCTTCTGAGAGTTGCTGCTTCTGTATTCACTGAGATTCAGTCGCTGCAGGATCTTCGACAAACATTCCTTGGTTCCAAGATTGTGTCGTTTCACCATGCACCGATATTTGGGTTGATATGCGGGCTGGTTGGATTCGACAGCGAGACAACGCAGCGTGCCTACATGTTCGTCACAATGAGGGACGTGATCTCTGCTGCGACGAGGCTCAATTTGATCGGGCCGCTAGCTGCTTCGGTTCTGCAGCACCAGGTTGCGGAAGATGCTGAAAGGATGGTGCAGAAGTGGAAGGATCGCGGTGTCGAAGAAGCAACGCAGACATCACCTCTGCTTGATGCGTTGCAGGGTTGCCATGCTTACATGTTCTCTAGGCTGTTTTGCACCTGACAAGGAGGTGTGCTTCATCTCCCTGTTTCTTTCTTTTTTATACATAATCCCCTCGATGTGTTTGCAGAGTTGCCATGCTTACATGTTCCATAGGCTGTTTCTGTACATTTGTTTTGAATGGATTCACCTCAATAACCATGTCAATTTTATGACACAAACACTTCAATTTTATTGTATGACACTTCCATAATGTTTTGAAATGTGATTAGTGCAGTGCAATGCAATTGAGTGATGAAATAAAATTCAGATGAGTGATGTCTTACATGATGAGCAGTTCACTCAAACCAGTGGCGCATTTTTTCCCTTTTAACATATAGGAGTTCTTTGAGATCTGACAAGCCCATTTTCTTGCCATTTAAGGCCACGAAACAAGATGATCATGTCATACACTGAACTATTGACCTTACTCTGTTCATCCCCTGTCTCTTGCAGATTGCTAACTGCAATTCGCTGTAACTCAGCCCACGGTTTACACTTTTACCCTGGACGGTTGGAGGCAGCAGAGGACCACTACATTCTGTTAAATAAAAAGACACCAGAAGATCACAAGCATCACAAGGACAGATTCTCTTGGTTGATTCTTATTTTATTTCCAAGCAAGATTGTACATCAGCAATGCCAACAGTAGGTTACATTCTTTCTCCAGGTTGATTATTATTTTATTTCCAAGCAAGATTGTACAGCAGCAATGCCAACACTAGGTTACATTCTTGTATGTGATCCATGTCTATTATCTATTACAGTGATTGTACCATCATTTGTCTTCAGCTTCCACAAATTACAACATCAACTTGCATGACACATATCACAAAGCAGTGAAAGCACATCTTTTTTCTTCTGCTCCATAATACAAATACACTGGTTACATCTGTTGCTCCAGGCCTCCAGTTCCTACCTAGGATCCTTGAACTGTAGGGGCTTGCTTGGCTTCAAGGGATTTCTCATACTCCTCAATGGACTTGAACAGCTCCGAGAAGTTGCCCTTCCCAAACCCGCCGCAGCCGCCCTTCTGGTACTCCTGCCCACTCTCATCCTTCTCCATGCACCCAATCCTTTGTATCATCTCCAAGAAAAAGGTTGGCCTGAGTGAAATAGCTGATCCAGTTAGATTTGGAGTCACAGAGAGGAAATAACAATAGCAAAGATGCAGCAGAAATTAGAATACTGACTGAATCAGACTATTAAGCTTAAAGACAATTACAACCTCCTGAACCTAAAGTTTAAGTTGTTCCCAGCAGCATTGCTGGTTTATGCTGATGGAGTTGCCATAAGATTCTTTCTTTCTTTTGTAAAAAAAGGAATCCATGGACCTTAGATGTAGTAAGTAATACTTCCTCCGTTTCACAATGTAAGTCATTCTAGTATTTCCCATATTCATATTGATGCTAATGAATCTAGATAGATTAGCATCAATATGAATGTGGAAAATACTAGAATGACTTACATTGTGAGAGGGAGTACTCACTAATTAAGTAGCTATATGTGGCTGGCTATCTGCATTACAACATGCCGGCAAAAAGGAACTGGGATATGCTTGCAAGAAGGCATAAACAGACACACATTGGCTTTTCATTTTTTTCCTATGCACATTCAGCTTTATTCCCTTTCTAGTGTCACAATCTTCAGAAAGGCGCATCATGGATTCATGGAGACACATAAAGAGTATCCATGGAGTATCACAGAGCTCACTATCATATATTATACTGTATTATTCAAGCATTCTGGATTAATTTCATAATGCTTGACACCTTTCTGCGCCTAATCGATGCTATGTGCCAACAAATAACTGCAAATCTGAATTCATAAGCCATTTTCATCATGAAAGAGGTGAGGATTTTACCTGTCTCCTACTGGCTTGGTGAAGATCTGGAGCAACACCCCCTGGTCATCCCTGTCCACGAGCACCCCGAGCTCCTGGCACTCGTTGATCTGCTCCTCCGAGAGCACGTCCCCGGCGCGCCGCCGCACGCCGTCGTAGTAGTTGGGCGGCGGCGGCGCCAAGAACTCGAAGCCGCCCATGGCGGAGCGCGCCCGCATCTCCCTCAGCGTCCCGAGCACGTCGTCGCTGGCCAGCGCGATGTGCTGCACCCCCGGGCCGCCGTGGTGGTCCAGGTACGTCTGTATCTGGCTCCGCCGCTTGGTGCCGTGCACCGGCTCGTTGAGCGGCAGCAGCACGGTCTCCGCGTTGTTGGCGAGCACCACCGAGTTGAGGCCGCTCTCGGCGGTGCCCACGTCCTCGGCGGTGAACTCGGCGAACTCGTGGAACCCGGTGAACCCGGAGATGTACGCGGCTACCGGAGCGAGCTCCGGCACGTTGCCGACGACGTGGTCGAACCGGCGGAGGCCGTAGTCCACGGCGCCCGGGTTGCTGACGCCCTCGAAACCCGGGAGGAAGGGCGCGTCGGCGCCGTCCGGGTGGCTGACGAAGCGGAGCACGACGTCGCCGTAGAGCTCCACCTCCGCGAGGCCGAAGCCACCGCCGAGGTCGGCGGGCTGGAACGCCGGGCGCGCACCGGCCGCGACGCTGGCGCGGAAGGCGTCGGCCGCGTCGGCGACGCGCAGCGCCACGGCGTGCACCGCGAGGCCGTGGTCCGCGGCGAACCTCCGCGCGGCGCCTGGGGAGAAGGAAGGGATGGAGGCGGTGGTGGCCGCGTCCGCGCCGACGCCGTGGTCGCCGCCGTAGGGGGCGGTGAAGAGGAACGCGACGGAGGCGGAGCGGAGGAGGAGGGAGGCGTGCGCGGAGTTCCCCGTGGAGAGGTCGGACCTGGCGGCGAGCGGCGCGCCCAGGGCGAAGGCGAACCGGCCCGCGGCGGACGCGGCGTCGGCGCACCAGAGCTCGACGTGGTGGAACGCGAGCGCCTGGAACCGGTCGCTCCGCGGGTTGGCGCGGACGAAGCGGCGGTGCCCGACGAGGCGGAACCCCGCGTTCTCCCCCGCCGCCGCAGCGGCCGAGACGGCGCCGGTGGTGGCGGTGGGGGTGGGAGTGGGAGGCATGGCGCGGCGCGGCGCGGCGTGGCGTGGCGCGTCGTGGGGTGTGGGGGAGTGGATGACAGTGGCGGCGTGGGGGGAGGAGTTGGTGGTGGGGGGTTAAATAAAGGGAGGAGATGGCGCCACGTGGACGCTAAGTCTAGTGGTTGCGGACGGGATTTGTCCTCTGGTGCTGGTTGCCTTGGCTGCTGGTGAATTTGTGAAGCTGATGAGTTTGTTACTTTTTTTTTTTTTGAGAAAAGTTGGTGACTGTTCTGATTTTTAGAGGGAAGGGGAAACAAATTTTGTGGTAACTTGGAGTAAAGCTCTTGTTTTTACTAGGTGATTATATGTTCAATCATTTGTTTTATTTTAAAAACATGTGTAAACATAAGAAAATATAAGTCATATTTAAAAGTGTTTTTAATGATAAACCAAGTTAAAAAAATAAAAGATAATTATATTCCTTAATTAGATGAATGATAAATATATATTTTTAAAAATTGATAGTGTTATCTATTAAGAATCGGGGAGAGTAGTAATGGAGGATTTTCTTATTGCAAATGGATGGATGGTAGTGTTTTTCACATCACTTCTCTAAAACGTTTTGTGCCACATATATTACCTCGGTCTCGATAGACATATGAAAAGCGGTAGAATGAGCTGTCTCAAACAGTCAAAATCTCAATTGAAGATATCTCTACTGCTTCCTTAAAAGCATTTGATATTGGATTTTGATTTAGTGTGACGTTAGCCATTATTTTGTATTAAAATAAGTTTATGAGGCCTTGAAATTATTTGCAAAGACAAATGAACACAACATTTTTTCATGATTTCGATGTAAATATTTTGATAGTCGTTGGCCGTCTAAGTTTCAAAAGATTTTACGTAAAACATCAAGTGTTTATTACCGCTAAGCAGGGTTTATACTTTGTTGACTGACCATCGATAATCACCTTCGGCAAAATCGTCAGTAACCGTCTGGTTATCGTGATGGCTCTTCTTTTTTTCGAATTTGAAACAGCGTCCTTTTTTAAGGGATGGAACCATTCCGTCCGGCAGAACGTTTTCTAAACTTCTAAACAATACCATTTTCGTAAAAAGAAATTATATACATTTTTCATATGACCGTTTTAAATATATTATCATCAACTATTCGTGAAAAAAAAAGAACACACTCTATAGGGCTCAGAATATGATAGAAAACGATATGTCCCGTAGCAGAACATCATCTTGGTAAGTAATCTCTCCGTTTCGAAATGTTTGACACCGTTGACTTTTTAGCACATGTTTGACCGTTCGTCTTATTCAAAAACTTTTGTGAAATATGTAAAATTATATGCCTACATTAAAATATATTTAACTATGAATCAAATGATAGGAAAAGAATTAATAATTACTTAAATTTTTTGAATAAGACGAACGGTCAAACATATGCTAAAAAGTCAATGGCGTCAAACATTTCGAAACGGAGGGAGTAATAAAAACCCTCATCCAAAAAAGGGGATAATAAAAACTACTCCCTCCGTTTTTTAATAGATGACGCCGTTGACTTTTTCTCATATGTTTGATCATTCGTCTTATTCAAAAATTTTATGTAAATGTATAAGATATAAATCACACTTAAAGCACTATGAGTGATAAAACAACTCATAACAAAATAAATTATAATTACATAAATTTTTTGAATAAGACGAATAGTCAAACACATGAGAAAAAGTCAACGGCGTCATCTATTAAAAGAGGTAGTATGGCATACTACAAAGGAGATCTGAAAGTACGAATCTCTCTTTAGCTTTTTGGATAGAAACGTTTTTGATCTCTTGATCTCGATCAGGAGCTGGATAAGCGATTGAGTCATCGCTGTGCTGCCTTGGTTTCTTGCTTGACTGTCTCTGTTCATCAGTTGAAGTAGATCTCTCGACGCCTCATCATCCATTTCTGAAACCCTTGCACCATTCCTGCACGCATGTTGCTGCTGGCCGTTAGGTGTCACTGCAACCGTCACCTGTCCATCACGCATATGCCCATCCAGAAACGGACCAGGAGGGCTGCAGTGTCAAATTGACTTACTAGCAACTTGAAAACGATGTAACCAAGAAGCAAACAACAATGAGAGCCTGTGCAAGACCCCAAGAGGGCAGCACTCAATTTGGGAAGCCAATCTGGAAACTCGAGAGCAGAAGTTGAATTCAAATTGGATTTGCTATGCGGCTGGCTGCCTCTCTCGCGAGAGGGGATCGAAATCGAATAGGTGTGTGGTGTTGGTTATGGGCTTATGGCGAGCACAAGGTGTGTTCGTATACTATGTACTCAGAAGTCAAAACCTTTAGAAGCATCAAAACTAATCCATTAATCTAGTATACAAACTACTGCCAAAAGTCCTAAAACTAGGTACAAGTAATCCCGTACAACCATGGAATATATATACTATATGTTAATTGCACACATATGTATGCAAGAATTAATTGCAGTAAGAGCAAAATATTACAACTAGCTAGCTTCTAGGAGTACATGTATATTTTCTAGGTGAGCCAGCAGCAAGGAGAAGAAATCGTAAGTTCAAGGTTAATGGCCGCCGGCGGCAGCGGCTGTGTGGAACAAGCAAAAGGATGACGATGACCATGCCGCGTTGATCCGTCGTCGTTGATGATGTTAGGCGCCGGTGGCTGGATCAGAAGCTCGTCGTCGTCGTCGGTGATGCTCGAGCCACCGTCTTTCGATTCTTCAGCGGCGCCGCCGCTGATCGACAGCGTCAGCTCGCAGCCGTCGTCGTCTCCGGCGTGCAGCGCTTGCCGCCGGTGAGGTCTCTGGTGGCTATGGCTCCCAATTCCAGCTGCTGGCACCTGCAACAAGAAAAATCAATCAATCAATCAATCAATCAAGACACTCAAATGAGCCAATTAATTAATTAATTGATTAGCGTTCTTGATCTGTCCTAGTATTAATTAGAGCTAGAAGAAAATGGTTACCGTTCTTGTTGCAAGGAAGCTGAAGCTGCTCATCTGTCGTCTCTGCTGTTCATCCTGCTGCGCCGTCGTCGTCCAATCGATTTGTGGGGTGACAGGATGACGACGGTTAACATTGCTACTGTTGTTGGAGTTCCTGTACATCTGCTCCATGCATGACGCAAATTAATTTGGTTTAATTCGATTGAAATTAAAAGAGATGATGATATTTTTAGTGTAGTCCTGGCTATATGTTTTTAGCTACCTGAAGATGGCTTTTAACGTGCGATATACTGACTCCCTTAGCGCCCATCAGCTGCATAATTCGCTTCGGTGTTGCCTCTGTAATTCAGATGAGAACAAAAACAAAAGTTACTTCGAATTTAATTTTTAGGGATTAGTACATTTTTAAATACCGACTAATACCACGGTTCAGTTTGGTTTCTCCGAATAGATGGCAGTACATTTCAAAATTTTCGATTTTGTGATGATATATACTCCTTCTGTCCAAAAAAAAAAAACTAATCCTGGGTTTGTCAGGTTTAAACCCAGGATTAGGTTTTTTTTTTAAGGACGGAGGGAGTATATATCTCCAAGGGACACAAACGAAGTCTCATATTGACGTGTAATTTTTTTTCTCATTCGTGAATAAAAAACAAACGGAATCTTGAGAACTTATCCTTTTCCTTTTAAAGAATGAGCAATATTTATAAATGCAAAAGTTGTATATTAAATGTACCATTTAGAAATTTAAAAGGCATGTAAGAAACTGCAGTATAAGATAGTAAAGGAACTGGTCACAATGCTAATTAAGAGATTACTAGGGGTTATTCAGATTGTAACTAAAATAAACCTTAACAAATTTTGATAATGCCAAAATTTTAGCAAAGTTTGACAAGAAACTAAATATATGCATATATTTAACAACTCTACTTAGAAAAAATGGTTTGAAATGCTATCAATCTGAACGAGTGATTGGTTTAGGCTTTATAGTTGAGGGAGATCAAATTAACATCTAAATTAACTGACCGTGGCATCCGCCGAGGCGGCGGACGGCGTGGACGAAGCGGCGGTGCAGCTCCTCCGGCCACCGCATCCGCGGCGCCTCGCTCCGGTTGTACCGCCGGACGACGACCGGCGGCGACCCCCCGCCGCCGCCGGCGCTGCCCATTCGATCTCTTCTTCCTCTCGCTCCCATATTAGCTTCCTTCAATCTAGAACTACTAGAAGCTTAATTAGCAATGCGACGATCGATACGATGGATGAAGCTAGTACACATGCACATCAGTACACATGTATATATGCTAGTAATTCCATTAATTTGTGCCTAACCCTGGGTATATATATACAAGCAAAGCTAAGCTTTGCTTATGAAACGTACGGCCAAGTGACCACTATCTGTAAGAACTCTATAATGAGTTGATAATTCATCTAAGAAGCCGTACGTCATCACTTTACTGACCTGGTCCAGTCAAAACACGCACGCCCGCATGCATGCTGAATTGCTGATAGATCGATACTAACTATGACTCTCTGAGATATCAGATATGCTTGCTGCCTCGTAGCATTCACATGAATATACGAATAAGAAAAAGAAAAGAAAAAAATAAGAAAGAAAGAAAAAAGACAGGCTTATAGCTCATCTATTGTACTCGTGGTTATATCAGCTATAAACTTATATAGAGAAAAAAATAAAGAAAAAATAATTAGTGTTGACGTACACTAATGCGAGAGCTAACTCTACACATGCTCTAAAACTAATTACATTAATTACATAAGTGAGAGAAAAAGAGTGGGAAAGAGAAGTAAATAAATATAATCTTATAACTAATCTATTATATATGTTATCTCTAATTAATATGGACTTGTAGCTAATAGTTAGCCCACTATTAAACTTGCTCTATTGTGTACTCTTTATCTTGGGTTGTCAGTCTTTAGATTGTTTCTTCTTGATGGTTGGTTTTATCTTTTAATGAGTGTGAAATTGTAATAATTGACTATAGCTCTTTGAGCAAAGGCCGGGATGCTCTATTCCATTATCTAAAACAATTAAACTTGCTCTAATAGACTTATATTTAATAGTTAGCTCTAATACTAAGCTTAGTACTAGCTGGTTTGATAATATTAGCACTAATAATTATGTATATTTTTTTTATCCCATAAAAAAATAATTCCCGACTGTCTATATACACGGTTGGAATTTGATTTTTTTAATGTCTGGAAATATTTTTTTTTAATCAAGGGCAAGGAGCCCCCATTTCCATTACTAGAATATATCTGGACATATATAGGTCCTATTTAGTTTCCAAAAAGTTTTTTCCAAAAACATCGCATCGAATCTTTGGACACTTACATAAAATATTAAATATAGATAAAAATAAAAACTAATTGCATAGTTAGAGGGGAAATTGCGAGGCGAATCTTTTGAGCCTAATTAGTTCATGATTAGCCATGAGTGCTACAGTAACACACATACGTTAATGACGGATTAACTAGGCTCAAAAGATTTGTCTCGTGGTTTCCAGGCGAGTTATGAAATTAGTTTTTTTATTCGTGTCCGAAAACCCCTTCCGACATCCGGTCAAACGTTCGATGTGACATCCAAAATTTTTTTTTTCGCGAACTAAACGGGGCCACAGTGGCTGCTGTTTCAATTCGTTGGTCCACGTATGGGTACGGCACGCATATGTCGACGTATGTCGATTGACCCTACCCTTACCCTATATGGCTTGATCGAAATGTAATATAATTAATTATATACATTTCGTCGTTCATTATTGATTGTAAAATATAATCGGTCGAATGTCATCCACACGTGCTACAGTTCTCTCAAAAAAAATGATATTTTTTTTACAAAAAAAATCATCTATATATACATGTGATCGATCATTGACAACGATTTGTTGTTAGAAAATGAAACGACGGATTAATCGGTCAATGTAATTTAATCAAAGGTCGTGGTTTCTGATCAGCCGTACATAGCAAATGGCAGTGTCAGGGGACTAGTAGTACTCCCTCCATTTCAAAATATTTGACACCATTAACTTTTTAGCATATGTTTAACCGTTCGTTTTATTAAAAAAAAATGTGAAATATGTAAAACTATATGTGTACATGAAAGTATATTTAGCAATGAATCAAATGATATGAAAAGAATAAATAATTACTTAAATTTTTTAAATAAAACGAATGGTCAAACACATATAAAAAAATCAACGGTGCCAAATATTTTAAAACGGAGGGAGTACTTTTTATTCCGTACGGAAGTCGTACTAATACTTTTCTTAGTATACATATCACGATCGATGAGTGCTTTACATTCTTGTCAAGATTAGTGTCAACGGCTAATGTCATGCATGTGGATGCCGCAATGCAAACACATGTTTCTCCATGATATTGGTCGCTTGTTTAGTTGTTTACACGATCAAAAGCCAAAAACAGTGTGCACGAAAGAGTTGTAGCTAGCTAGCTAGCTAGCTCTCATATTGTCATATATAGGGCATCGATCAAAGTGGTTCCAAGTCAGGTGAACCGTATTATTAATTCTCCCTATATATATGGTCATCCGTTCACGTCCTAAATTAATTCCTTCACCCCTAACACTACAAATTCTTTAACATATATATGATGCTTGGGCTAGGCTAACCTTTTGGACGAGCTAAATTTTGAACGAGTTCTATTGACAGAGCAGAAAAAAATTACGATTACAAAACTGTAAAGTCGTAAGAAAAAATGAAAAAAAATATCACCACCCACACACCGACAGCGCCAACACACTGGTTGAGTTATCTAGACTAGAGGTTTTGTTCATCGGTTGAGTTATCTAGACTAGAGATCTACTTTATTTACACACAAGTCTTTTCCTTCTTTGTACAATTATCTTGTACATGAACAACTAATTTATCTTCCGCTATATTCAACGAAATTGGTACACCAAATACCGATTTATTTTTTAGAAAAAAGAAGAAAATAACCATTGGAATCTGTTTTTATTTTTCAAGAGAATAACATATTTATAACTAACATTATTTTACCATCTTTAACAAGTTTTGAATTATTACTAGCTCTAAAATATATACTTGTGCCTCCTTGTAGAGAAAATCCCTTATGTACGGATGTACCCATAAATTTTCACCTAATCCCTTATTTGCCCTTAAATTTTGCCTTATCCCCTACTTACCATCGACTTTTCATCTTTATCCCCTATATGCCTATTCCGTGAGTCCAAAAAAATGTCTATATTACCCTTTGTCTACTTATTGGTTAGAGTTGATTGAAGAAAAACACGGTTCTCAACATAAAAGTTGATTCATTTATAAAAACAAACATGACATAATTACTTTATCATAAATTTGAAAACTAAAACTTAGATTTTTTAAAAATAAGTATCAAATTAGATTTGATGAAATTTGTTCAATTTTTTTGCTGAAATTTAATCCCAAATAAGAAACAAATTTGGTTTTTCAAATTTCGACTAAAACCTTTTGTGAGTTTCATATTTTAAGAATGATTTAAAATTTGTTTTTTTTTCTGAAATCTGGTGTCAATAATCACGTCTCTTTTGATTTTTTATTATAGATTAAGATTTTTTATAACGAGACTTATGTTTTTAAAGTAGGTAGCATAAAGTACAAGCGAAGGGTAATATAGTTATTTTTGGAGTCAAACTCAAGGCAAGGGTATAGAAGGGATCAAAATAAAAACTCAGAGGTATGCAGAGGATGAAGCAAAATTCAGGAGCATATAAGGGATTGAGTGAAAACTTATGGGTATGTGAGGAATTTTCTTGTCCTTGTACTCCCCGATTTCATATTCTAAAATGCTTTAACTTTTTTCTTAGTCAAATAGTTAAAGTTTAACAGAGTATATAAGTAGAACATAGTAGTATTTTTAACACAGAATAAATTATTTTAAAAATATAAATTTAACGCTAGATGTAATAAAACTAATTTGATATTGTTAATATTACTAAATTTTCGAATAAATTTAATAAGGCTAACGATCGTACTCGGCCCATCCAAAGCCCAGGCCCAACAAGAAGTAGAAAATGGGCCCACCACCAAATCTCCCCCTGTCCTTCCCCATCCACTTTCCCTCTTCGTCTCCATTCAATTCAAAATCCCCTCCGCTTCTCCTCCTCTCCCCATTCTTCTCCTGTCTCTCTCGCCGCCTCCAATTCCTCCAAACCCTCATCCTCCTCCTCCGCGGCGGCGGTGGCGACGGCGGCGGCCGCACCATGGGTTGCTTCCTCTCCTGCTTCCGCGGCGCGGGATCCGATCCCGCCGGTAGCCTCCGCGTAAGCCACAGCCCCCTTCCCCCCCGTCGGCTCCCCGATCCGACACCCCTTCGTCTCTGTGTGTGTGTGTGTGTGTGGTGATGATTTTTGCTGCCTTGTTGCAGGATCCGCTCGTGCGGGAGAGCCGGATCGGGGAGGCGTTCCTGGACGACGAGACGAGTGGGTTTTCTCTTCCGTTTTCAACTGGATGCCCTTTGCAATTTTTTTTTTTGTTTTCGCTGTGTACGATCGGATCGGAGCTGAGGGTGTACGGAGGTTTATTTGGTATTTCTCTGCAGAGGTTGAAGCGAGCGGGACGCTGGATGGGGATCGCGGAAATGGCGGAAGCGTCGACGAGGAGCTCTGGCGAGAGGTAGCTGCAACGTTTTCTTCTCTACCTGTTTTTACTGTTGTGTGGCGATTTCATCAGAACTTGGTGGCATATCTCGAAGCACCAATGTTTCTAGAGTGATTTATATCAAAATTGATCCTCATGGTTGGTGAGGAGTAACAAAATTGGACCTGATTGTGTAATCTACAGTGTATCTCATTGTGTTGTCACCTATGTAGTATTGATGTGCTCTTCCAGTGGACTCCCTTGCAGCTTTGTAGGTGCTTGGTTATGCTCTCTCCTTGAGTTGTAGGTTATGCGAAAACGACATTGGTTGCCAATTTTGTTGTTTAGGTCCAAAATTTGGCTCTTAATATAGTCGCGCTTCACTCGATGTGCATAGAATTTACCGCTAAAATTACACCTTAAATCTTTCTGAAGCTATTTTCATGCCTGCACCTATCCTCACAGGCAAAATTAAACTGCAAATTATTTTACTCTTTTTTACTTTAAGAATTTGCAAATGTGTGTTAGGTCACAAATCAGTGTTCAGCTGTCCAGTCCATTACCATGTCAAGTTCTTTTGGCACTAACCTCCTATAGATGGATGAGATAAATAGGAGTAGTTGATAATTCTCTGATTATCAATATTAGTATCCAGATATATATTATGCTACAGTTACACTAGAGTGAAGGCAGTGAGCTTTTTGCAGGTCGGTAGATTATATTTCTATGATGATCACTCGATCAGTTAAGATTATATTCTTCAGATATAATGTTGTACTGATTTTGAGCTGTCAGTGTCTAGTTTTCATTCAAAGTACCATAAAAGAGTTTACTGATGCCCAACTTGCTGTCTGTAGGTTTATGTGCATGATATTGGTTTATGTAGATATATTGTTGCCTCGATCAAATCTATCTTGAGATTGATGCAAACTTTCAACATTCATCACATCTTCTATTTAGTATAACGCCCTTGCACATGCTTAAAGAACTTTGAATGGATGTCCTACATGTACATGTGGTTTGCATTTTCATTGGGCACACTACATGGACCATACCATGTTTTAACTTTCACGGTTCTGCTTTAACAGTTGAACTTCATCAATACATGTTACATTATAATCAATTCTTTTTTTTTGCGGGGACATTATAATCAATTCAACTGAAATTAATTTCATAGCATCTCTCTATAACCAGGCAAATTATCTGAAATCATGTGGTGCGATAGGAGAAACCCCACCAGAAATGCTGAAAGGGTCAAACCAAATCACTGAAGAAGAAACTAATGGGGTAAGGAGTGTGTTTCTGCATCTTTGTTTACTAAAATCGGCTTATGATATCTTTATTTTTTAACACATACTGTAATGACTAATGACACATCATGCATTATGCAGGAGCTTAAAGGAGCAGCGGTGTCTGAAGAAAACTTATCTGAAGGGTAAACAAATACCATCAGTTTTCATGAATATAACAGTATTGAATACTACTGTCACTACCATGGTCACATAACCAATTCTTCCTTTCTTGTGATACAGGTTCAACTGTGATGAGCATAGTGCTTTGAAACATGAACAAAGCGATTCACCTCACCCAACCCCTCTGGTTCTCAGAGGTGATATGCAAACTCCTGGTACACTGAATACTGCATATAAGGAGTCTTTAAGGTCTGGGAAGCGTGCAAGGACCAACAAGCAATTCATATATCCTGTCCTCAGACCTATCGAGAACAAATTACAATGGATGGAACTAAGAGACGACTCTTCACCTATCCTGTCATTCAATCCTCCAAAGAGAAGATACTTGAGCACAGATTGTAGCGCGAAACCTCAAGAGTCCATCACAAATTCAATGGCTACGCAAACAGCGCGAATAACTCCTGCTTCCTTCTCATTTCATGACATTACTGCAGGGCAAGATCAAGGAGTGATATCTCCGGAGGAACATAAGAGTGAGAATGACAGCAGAAAGCTGTTAGATGATGCAGATCAATTGAAATACAACGCAGACAGTGAGAGGAAGGGTGTTGCAAGCCTTTCTTGCTGGCTTAAGCCTCCATCTTCAGCTGGTGGGAGTCAAAGTGACACGGAGGGCAAGGTGGTAAAGCAAAGATGCTACGAGAATAGTGTTTTCACAGACCTGCCTATCTTTACAGCTTCTGGTCTGAACTGGGACAATGACAAGCCTACTCCTGTGTTGCCAAAGGTGTGGGATGGTAACGGTATCCCAAACACAACTACCAAATACAAGGAGGTGAATACTTTCATCCGATGCTCTCTATACCTTGCACTTACTACTTATTTGCCCTACTTACACTGTTGCTTTGCTGTTATCAGGACCAGAAAGTCAGTTGGCACGCAACGCCTTTTGAGGAAAGGCTGATGAAAGTTCTGTCCGATGAGAAACCGCATCATCAAAGGTCTCCTGCTTATGCTCTAATCATACTCTGCAACCTACTGTTACTTGAAATTACTACTAATATTGACATCATGATCCTTGCACCAGGAAAATCAGCGGAAAGCTGATCCAACTTGATGAAGAGACCAACTGAAGACCCTTGCAAGAAGACCATCATCCTCGTAGCATTTGCATCATCATCATCATCCTTGAAACAGTGAATTTTTTGAAAGGGCCCCAGCTTTGGCTAATCTGATATGGACTCTAGCTACAAGCTGCGCATCTTGTCATCTGTACAGCATTCGCAAATAGGGTGTCTGAGCTACATTCTCGTCAAATTTCATTTCGGACCGTTATTGCCAAGTTGTCAACTTAAGTTGTCGTTTGCAACTTTTTGTTTTCCTCTGTAAAGAAGATGATACTTTATCTGCTGTGAACATCAACTGCCGACTGGAGTTTGATAGTAGTATCAATGAAAGAAAACTTCTCGTGTACTCCCTCCTGCGTATTACACTCTACCGTCTAGCCATTCTTTTATTAAAAGAAGTATACCTTTATTTGTCTCTGCTTTTGATTTCTTGTTTTTCTAATATAAGGAAACTATCTAGGACAACCAGAACTGCGAGTTTTTTTTGGTTGTTATTAGTACCTGATACATTTCCATTATTTCTTTTTTGACTTTTTAGGCAACTCATCAGCAAATAGTGGATCAAAGGTAGTAATCCAGTCTCAATGCATTATCACAGTAAGCCAGACTGTAAGACTGTTCCTCTAAGCTGCTAGTGGCAGAACCTGCAAGCCAGAATCTTGTACTACAAAGGAGCAAATAGAGCTTGGAGATGCTAGACACATTCCCCATCAACGCAGCTGTGCTTACAATTATCGCCAAATCATTGAGGTATTTTCGTCGAGTAGCAGCAGACACAGCAAGGCACAGCAACTCAAAGCTGTTCTTGGTTTCTTAGAGAGCTCAAGTTTCAGTCACAGGCTCACAGTAACTGGCTGACCTGACCACATGTTTATAACAGTTTCGCTCTCAGGAAATCTCACCTCAAGACACAGCCACATATCTGCTTCCTGAATCAACCTGATGGATACAGCTCGGCAGTGGAAAGGACATGTTGCATTGCATTGGTCCAGGTTACAGTCTTGCGCTGTGGTGAACACACACTGATGAACAATTGGACATGGCAATTGCTCCTCTACCGAGCAAACTAACTACTAGGGTGGTTGCAGTGTAAAGTCCAGATCACAAAAAATGGCACATTAAATTACATCATCCGGACAGATCATCCTTGTCAGACCAAAACGCATGCAGAGAGGTAAAAAAAAGGGATCAAGAAGTTCAGTAAACTACAGGGAGGCTTACGATTTACAGTGGCATGAAGAGAACAATCCAAGCCGGTGGGTGGAGATTAAAACTGTGGGCTCCCAAATCCCAATCATGGCAAGACTCTGGACAGGCTCTGTCACATTCAGATCAAATCAAACCACCACAAAACAAAACCACAGGCAGTGAATGTACAACTACACCGTGTCACCGTGTCACCAGCCAGATGATCTAGCTAGAGCAGAGAGGAGGAGTAGCAGCATGCAGGTATTCAAATGGTCAGATATTGTAATCCTGAATTCCTGATAGCCTGATGGTTTGCAGCTTGCAGGATCACGGGTACGACTGTTCCTTTGGCCAAAACCCTGCACCTCTCTCACTAAATCCATGTCGTTTTCGTTGCAACTTGCATCCATGTATCAACTGGTTACAGATCTTGCATTTGCAATACTCTTCTCCCCAAGTTGATCCATGAATCTTTCATCCCTAATAAAAAAAACCAAAGGCCGAACTGAACCGCACTGAAGTTTCACAAAACTGAATAAACCATATAAACCGAATGCCCACCCCTAATCCAATATACTTATTATGTACAGAGTACTACATTATATTCTATACTGAATAGTTTCTTGTTCAGAAATACTACTTTGTCGTAGAATATAAGAGATTTTATCCATGTAACTATAAAATCTCTTATTATTCTGAGATGGAGGTAGTAACTTGATATGGAATAGTGCTACTGTTTTATCTTACTGTAGTAGTGGTCACTATGGATCTTTACATTTGAGTTAAAAGGCATGGGACCAATGTGTCTTCTCCTTGGCTCTCCATGCATGGGGTGAGTGATAAGAGTGAGTGCTCTTGCAAAAACCTGATCTCCAGCAAGCAAGCAGACAAAACGCAAGATTGGAACAAATAAATAGCTACACCCATTTGAGTTGGGCAAGATGCCAAATGGTCTCCCTGGCTGCACCAACAGCCTATCAGCATCTAGGCATATTGATCTGCAAAAGGGTCATTACCTTTGCAGCGTTTGTCAACTTGCTGCTTGTCCCTGGCTTTGGCACTTAACTAATTAGCACTCACACACATAATCACGCATCGAGTCACTTAGTTAATCAGCTCAAATTGGTGACTTGAGACAGTTCAACCAACCTCACATGTTAACTTGGATGGCTCTGCTGTGGTTAAATTAATTCTACTGTGGTTAAATTAATCGATTGACCCATGTCGATCGATGGAGGTATGTGGTGTTAAATTGTTAATGTATGCGTTCTTTTTGTGCCTACGTGCATGCAGGCATATCTTTTGGAGATTCGTAGACGTTTTTGCATGCCGTGATGTTCAAGTTGTAGTTCAAAATTGGGAGAGGCTTGTTTCTTCTAGGATTTGGATGTGCTAGCTTGTGAAGAAACCAAGACAAAAGCTGCACATTGTCCTAGCTAGCAAGCATAGCTTCCGCCTCAGATTTCAAATTGTAGTTAGTTTTAGACTCGTGTACAAGAATTCAGAAACAAACACATAACACATATTAGGTGATATTCATATAGAACAGTTCAATTCCAGGTTGTACAGTGCAGAAATATTGAGAAGTCGCTAGCATAAAATTTGAAAGTATATCTTAAGTCTGGATTTTATACTATCAAATATGGTACTCCCTCCATTCTAAATTATAGAAATCTAGTATGTGAAAAGATATATACTAATGATATGAATTTGAAATATGCCTTCTGTCGAGATCGAGATCCATAGTATTAGGATGTTTCCCATCCCATGCTAAATTGCTACTCCCTCTGTTTCATATTATAAGCCGTTTGATTTTTTTTCTAGTCAAACTTTTTAAGTTTGAATAAGTTTAGAAAAATATATTAGTTTTTTAACATAAGACAAACATATTAACTAATTTAATATTTTAAATGTTGCTTAATTGCTCTATAAATTTGATTAAACTTAACAAAGTTTGACTAGTAAAAAAGTCAAACACCTTATAATATGAAATGGAGGGAGTATATTTTAAAATGAAGAGAGTACTTATCAAATACTAGTTCTATAATCACTTGGAGTAACCAGACAAGTGAGGCTACCTTCTTTCGTAAGTGTTGGGTATAAAACGGTGTGAATGATTAGCACACAATTAATTAAATATTAACTTAAAATATGAAAATAAATTAATATAATTTTATTTTTTTAATATATTTTTTTCAAAAAAAAACACCATTTACGATGGAATATGAGTTAGGAAATGGGAGGAAAACAACACACCCTGTGTGTTGGCAGTTGGCACAGAGACGAACACGCTCAGGCTAAGGGGAAAAAACGGAATAGCGAGCCGGTGGCCGTCACCTTCCCCTTGGCGTTGCTGCGTCTGCGTGCGTCGCGCGTGCGCGTGCGCGCGTGGGCCCGAGACTGACAGGTGGGCCCCACCCACCAGCCGCCCACGCTTTAACCCCCTCTCTCCTCTCTCTCGCCATTTACGAGAGCGCGCGCGCGACGCGAGCTGATGCTTCCGCTTGGCCGCCGCGTCGCCGAAGCCGACTACCCGCCGCCGCGATGACCACGACGTCGCCACCAATGCCGCCGATGCTGCCTTCGTCCTCGTCCTCGCTCCGCGACCTGCTCGAGCAGGAGCGCTGCGAGTCCCACGCGCTCGCCGCGGCGCCGCGGCGGGCGCGGTCGGGCAGGCACGCGTCGCCGCCGCCGCAACGCGTGGCGCCGGAAGAGGAGGACGATGGGGGAGGAGGCGCGGCGGCGGTGGGCGCGGTGGTGGCGATGCTGTCGGGGTACGTGGGGAGGTTCGTGAAGGACGAAGGGTTCAGGCGCGGGCTGCGCGAGAAGTGCGCGGCGTGCCTCGCGCCCGCCGCGTCGCGGCGTGGCGCCGGCCACGCCGTGCTGGCCAACCTCGAGCTGGGCATCGAGAGCATCGAGCGCCTCGCCGCCGACGCCGCCTCCGCGCAGGCGCAGCAGCGCGACGCCAAGATCCGCTCCCTCCGCAACTCCATCCGCCTCCTCAGCGTCGTCGCCTCGCTCCACGCGCCGCCGCAGCCGCCGCGCCACGCCGCTCCCACCTCCGCCCCCGCGGCGGCGGAGGCCCACACCTGCGGCGTCCCGAACTCCCACCTCTCCGCCTGCGCGCAGCTCTACCTCTCCGTCGTCTACAAGATGGAGCGCAACGACCACGTCTCCGCGCGCCACCTCCTCCAGGTGTTCGTCGACGCGCCCTACCTTGCCCGCAAGAACCTCCTCCCTGACCTCTGGGACCACGTCTTCCTCCCCCACCTCCTCCACCTCAAGGTCTGGTTCACCGCCGAGGCCGACCTCGCCCCCGACGACCGGAGCCGCCGGATGAAGACCCTGCAGCGGCTGTACAACGATCACCTCAACTCCGGCACCGCCCAATTCGCCATCTACTACAAGGAGTGGCTCAAGTCAGGAGGAGCCGAGGCGCCTCCTCCCCCCTCCGTGCCATTGCCCTCCATGCCCGGAGATTTCGATGCTTGGGACAAGCATTCCTCTTCCCTGCGCAGAAGCTCCATCAACAGAGGCCTGTGGGTGAAAGAAATTGCAATCTTTCCTCTCTCTCTCTCTCTCTCTCTCTCTCTCTCTCTTTTTGGAATGAATCACTTTGTGTGATTTTGTATCAAGATTATCTGAATTTTGCAGGTACAATGCGGTTTTCGGCACGGCGATGGAGCAGGAAGATGTCAAAGATACGAAGCTGGAAGATGACGAGATGTCCCAATTGGTTCTTGAGACTGATGTTGAATTGGAGGATAATCCAGGTTGCTTGAAGATGGGGAGGATTGCTCATGTGAGTCAACAGTTGCTTGCTTTCAGTACACTGATTAGCCTCATAATTGTGCTTATATTCTCTTGGAGTCTCAAATTAGTACCAGCATGTTTTAGACATGAGACAAATTATGGTCACTCATTGCATTCTGATAATTAAGTTGGTGTCAAGGAGACAGCTGGTTGAGCTCCATGAATTGTTTTTGTTTTCTCTAGTGTGGGGACAATAAAATTTTTTGTCTGCATTTCGAGTTATTTAAGTGCTAGGCGCCTAGGCCTAATTCGGTATCTAGCTGCCAGTAAACTGAACACCGTGTCTTTTGTGCCTCACTTGATTTACTCTTGCCAAGTAAGTACGCCAGTAAGTAAATTTGGTTTAGAATGTGCCAATGGTTTTCAAATTTTGTTACCGTTTTTCTGAATCTTGCTGTTCATATGGTTGGATTATCCATTCTATTGGAAGTGCACTTTCTGTAGAAATACATAATTTTGTCTTTGCTATCTTCCTAAACTTAATATCTTAGCATTCTATCCTTATCTAGCATAGAGGAAACAAAAGTATTGCAGAATTCAAGCAGCAGGCAAGGATTCATCCGTGTAGATTCTTTTTGTAGTCATTTTCTTCAAAAAAGAAAAGGATTGTTTTTGTAGTAAACTAGACTAGAGTGTGGCTGCAAATACAAAAGGGAGTTATGTTGTAAAAAAACATACTTGCAATCTGAACCTATTCTCTTAGTGGGACACTTTTACAATGATTTTAAATGCAGAGAAGGTGAAACTAGATGCATAATATTCATTCTTGGACCTGAATTATGATGGGCTAGTCTCTAGTTATAACTTATTACCAAAACATGCGAAATTGGGTCAAATGTTGAATTCAGAGTATCAAAACAGCCTTTGAATATGAAACACAATTTCAATTCTTAATTCTAATCTTAGTTCAGAGATCCAAACGGGTGTAAGGAGAAACAGCCCCATTTTGATATAATTGCGACAGCTTTAGAGCCTATGCCTACCTGGTGCATTTACCATTCCTTGACATTAATGTTTGAAGCATGCTAATAAGTTCTGATGTTCATTTGCCATAGAAGCTGAATAGTTCAACCCCGTGTAAATGTATATACCCTTGAAGTTATTTAATTTGTGCCTGTTTTGAGTAGACAGAGTAACATGGGGCTCCAAGAAAAGCATTCCGTTATTCGGAAAGAAGGCAATATTCCAGAAACAGCACCAACACCACGGAAATCCTATTCTCTCCGACTTTTCTCGTGTCGTGGAGATCTAACCAGGAACGTCATCAACCATCCTAAGATACCAAAGAAGGAAGCCGTGTCTGTCGAGAAAGACCTAGAATGCAGTGAGCTAACAATGAATCTAGAACGAGCAGTTTCCATGGTATCTAGTTCAGACAGTCTTACGCAGTGCGAATATGCTGTGCAAGAAGTTGCCAGAGCATGTTCAAATTTGCGAGAAGATCCAAACCTTGGAACTTGGCTGTCATGTCCATCCTTTATTCAAGGGCTTCTCGAAGTCACATTCACTTCCAAGGATGATCTAGTGCTGGAGTGTGCAATTTTGATTATCGGAGAGTTGATTTTAAGCAATGAGGTGAATAGACAGATTGTACTTAATGCAGATCCACAACTTGAAGTTTTCTTGAGACTTCTGAGAAGCAAAGAGTTGTTCCTTAAGGCAGCTATAGTACTTTATTTGATGAAGCCTAAAGCTAAGCAAATGCTGTCATTGGACTGGATACCACTTGTACTGCACATATTGGAGTGCGGGGATGAGGTGCAATTTCTGTCTTCTGTGAAATGTGCTCCAAAAGTAGCTGCATTATATTTCCTAGATCAGCTCCTTATGGGATTTGACGTTGATAGAAATGTTGAGAATGCAAAGCAGATGATTGCTCTTGGTGGTTTGGACCTGCTCATGAACAGAATCGATGGCAGTGATTCCCGTGAGAGCAAAAAATGCATCTCTCTCTTGACGTCATGTATCCAAGCAGATGGCAGTTGTCGACACTATTTAGTTGATAATCTGAAGAAGGAACCTATTGTTCAACTTCTAGTAGGAAATCAGAAGAAGGCTAGTTCTGCTGCCCTTAACTTGCTGAGTGAACTAGTCTGCCTTAACAGGTACAACGATTATACACTTCTGATAAGGTGTACACCGTTAGAATTTTTTTAGATAATGGTGCATACTGTTAGATTCATGTCTACTAAAACATCCTTTGTATTGAACTTGCTTCTTAACTTCTTAAAACAGAACAACCCAGATTTTGGAGTTCCTCAAGGAGCTGAAAAATGGTGGCTGCTTGAATACAATGCATATTCTATTGGTCTATCTCCAACAAGCTCCTATTGCCCAACATCCTCTAGCAGCTGTCATGTTACTCCAGCTTGATCTCCTGGTAACATCTTGAAAGACAAATCTTTTCTTCCTTTGCCGAGCCACATGTTTCGTATTTGTACATTCCCCATATAACAGTATTCTTGTAGGGAGATTCTTCGCAGTACAGCGTTTACAGAGAGGAAGCGATTGATGCCATGGTAGCAGCTTTGGAGCATGGTTCACACAGCAGAAAGTTGCAAGAACAGTGTGCTCGAGCTCTCTTACTCTTGGCAGGGAGGTTTTCATCCTCAGGGGAACCGATCGCGGAAGCATGGCTACTAAAGAGAGCGGGACTAGATGACTCCCTATCCGAATCCTTCCGGAGAACAGAGATATTCAAAGATAAGAGTGCAAGGGTGGTACGTTCTCATGCTAAAAAAAAACTAAATTCTATAGTTCATACCTTATAATTTGGTCTTGAAGCTAGGTTCTATTAATCTCTATGCTGTCTAAATTACCAGGAAGAAGAAAAGATAGTTGAAGAACGGCTGAAGAAACTTGCGCTCATGTTGCTAAACAGTGGGAACAAAAAGTTCCTCACAGCGCTGTCAAACTGCATATCTGACGGAATCCCTAGTTTGGCTCGAGCGTGCCTCATCACTGTAACATGGATGAGCAGCTCACTCTCCCCGCTGCACGGGTGCAACACGTTCCAGCCTTTAGCTTGCTCCATTCTTGCGACTAAGCTTGTAGATAGCCTAAGCTATGACAGAGTTTTGGAAGAGAGGGTGCTTGCTTCACTGTCACTGTTGAACCTTGTGAGACATCCAGGTATGTTTCTTTTGGTCATCTCCAACATGTTCTTGAAATGGAATTTCTTAATTTTTTTCTCATACAGTTTCACACTTTCTTTAGGCTACAATTTTCAAACTTGATACAGTCGGTACACAGTCATTTCTGTACATAAATTTTACTGCTCTTGTGAATTTTTTTTAAAAAAAATGCTTTCAGTGGACTATTATAAACTTGTCTAAGAAGAGCAGAACACTGTTGTTTCCATAGCCATGTAACTAGGAAGCTCCATTTCTCGTAATAAGATTGCATCACAATTTCGCTTCAAGCCTCATTGTTTTAAGGCAACCTTTCATTGTCACAGAATGTTTGGAGAAGCTTTACCCACTGAAGAAAGACACAGTAGAGTCATTGCAAGATCTTGCAGAAGTGACATGGACTGCAAAGGAGCTCCTTTTCGCATGCTGTAGATGACAACCATCTGAAGAGGAACAGTTTCTCAGTCTCCAAGAACAGTGTTTCAATATGGGATTAGTGATTGCTTAATTACACATTTCTTTTTTCTTGATATGTAAAGCACTAGAGTTTCTTTCCCTTGTAAAGAAGAATCTGGCAATGGCTTTCTTTCATATGCTGTACATTGTGATAATTCGTTCGTTCTGGTCTCTGCTTGCTGTGAGCAATCTGATAATTCGTTCGCTCTGGTCAGTGAGGCCTCTTACTACGACATGTGACACGGTGAGGACACACATCATGTTGTGAGACTAGAAAATCTACGGAGTTGCTAGAAATATGGCGCTATATGCTATAGTCGATTTTTTTTTCAGCCACTTACACAGTAGTTACACCTTATTTACACCCCACTTACATATGTAATTAGTATGTAATTTTCGAATTTACATATGTAATTTTAGTACTTACATATGTAATTTTGAGACTTACATTGTAAATACACTAAAATTACATATGTAATTTAGTGACTTACAATGTAAATACATGCCGACTATTTTTTGATGAAAAGTATGACGCCATAAATATAGCTACACCCAAAGTCTATATTTTCTCCACCAATATTTTAACTATATTTTTTAGAAACACAATATGAATGCATGTGCATGCGCACACACCCCTATGGCCCTATAAACGTGTACATATACAATCCATCCTTATAAAGCACATCCGAGAAACTGATCGTCATATCTTGAGCTACTTTTAAAGATATACCGAGCTAATATTGTATTTTTCTCACAAAAAGTTTAACTTTATTTTCTCTCCTCGCTCCATATCTAGACACCGCTACCAATTCGCTTGATCTATCTATTCTCTCCACCGCTAGCTGGTCTAACTCGCTAATTCCATCCAATTCCTGTTACCAGTTCTCCTAGGTTTTTATATAGATTGAGATGGTAACTCTAATTTTTAATTTTAAATGCTACAATAATTTATGTGTGTTTTGACAGGAAAATATGTAGAAAATAGCTCCTTTCATTTCCCTATCAAGAAAAAGCTTTTCCCTTGTTCCTACTACATGGAGAAGACACGCACACAGTGCACACCCCTACAAATGTACAATATTTGTCCAACTCTGCAATATAGCCTATTCGATTAATCGGAGAATGTAATAAAACTGTTAGACAATAACAAGTTAATATTGTATACAAATTGTGTGGACATCCTTCTCTCCTCTCCTTCCAGAACCCACCTAGCATGAAGCAACTTATAAGGTTTCTCTATTGCCTAAAATTTGAATTTTTTTTTTCAAACCTTCTAAAGTAATTGGTTATGTTTATAGAACACTTATTATCATTTGTATGAGATGCAATTGATGTATGGAACAACATTGTACCATGTATATATGAATAGATAAATGATTTATTTATTTGTCTAATTGTGTTTTCTATTGTAATGATATGCATCTAAATCAATCTTCTAATACATAAATTAAGCCAACAGAATGGCATGACTAGTCGTTCAACTCAACACTGTGAACTTACAAGAACTAGGTTGCTAACATCGTGTCATGGTAAATAAAAATTTAGGGTAGTTTCACTTCAGCATCATTTACATGATCAATATCTTGATATCTCTGTAATTCGGATGGCTGTTGAGAATGGTACTCCAACTCTAAGTTCAATCTATTCATCTCATCGTCTATTTTAGAAAGTATCATCAAATTAATAAAACTAGTTATAGGATTCAGAAAGTGTCATCTCTTGTTTTGCTTCTCTAAATCAGAAAACAGATTCCACACATTGAAAGTATCATCCATTGCTTTGTTCTAACCATCTGATGTGAAGGTTGAAGTGAAGTAACATAAACAGTATATAATTGAGGGGGGGGGGAGGGCACATCCCCCTTCCTCATTTTCTCATTTTTCACTCTCTTATCCTCTAGTCACCGATGCCGCCGTTGCACAGTCATGGAAACCAAGATTACTGAAAGATTTATAGAAACCATGGCGATTTATCTCATTTACTCCCAATTCTTTTACCACCAAAGGATAGAAACCATGGCTATTTTTGGGATTGTCTTTATAGAAACCATAACGATTTTTCTTCTCCTTCACTCTGCAAATCCTTCAGTCTCTAACAGGCGTTACACAATTATGGGGAAATGAGTGAAGCTGCCATTGACTAATCATGGGGAATGACGACTAAGACCACGAGTCATTCATTTTTTTTCCTTATTTACTCCAGTCCTTTGCCATTGCCTAGTCATGAGAATTGTGACCAAGACCACCAAAGGTTCTATCATCGAGATATTTAACTATTTACCATTGAACTCAAATATCATATATACATCATGAGGAGGTCCACATGTCATTGATATACTCCCTCCATTCCTTTATAGATGGCAGCCATGCCTAATGCACATATCACAAGGCAATAAACTGTTGATCTGGATAATTACTAAAATGCCCCTAGCTCTAGATAGAAAATGCAATGACCAGGCACCAAAATGTGTCTAACCATGAGAACCTACCGGGCTGCTCAAATCCCAGTTGAGATGAATGGAGAAAGATGGAGCAGACTATAGACTCTTCTTAGGGTATGTTTAGTTCACGCCAAAATTAGAAGTTTGGTTGAAATTAGAACGATGTGATGGAAAAGTTGTAAGTTTATGTGTGTAGGAACGTTTTAATGTGATGGAAAAGTTGAAAGTTTGAAGAAAAAGTTTGGAACTAAACAAGCCCTTAGTGAAAATGAAAGACTTTCTGATTGGACCCACAAAGGGCAAAATTGGAAAATGGCATAGTAGGAATGTTGCAGTGCCAACTATTTTGGAACAAATGAAGTAGTCATGGCTGCCAACTACAAAGGAATCGAGGGAGTATGGGTGAAAAATAGTTAAATGGTTGTTTATAGTGTAGCTAAAATAAACTTACCAAATTTTAGCAGCGCCAAAATTTTGGTAAATTGGCAATATTACCAATTTTTTTTAAGGATTTCCTATCTATTTATCAAAGTTTGGCAAGAAACTAAGTGTATACACATCTTTGGCAACTTTTTTAAAAAAAAAGATCCTCATCGGTAAGTATATTCGTAGGCTGATCAGCCAATTAAGCCTTTTTCAATTCAAACAAAGCCATTCCATCTGTTGGCTTAATTGATTAATTTGCTGGACGAGGAATCTTCTATGTCTGGTGCTTGTATCTCCTAGTTTGTGGTATTGGGATTTTTATCTTCTAGTATGTATAACCACTAGAGAGTTCACAAATTAGCCACCCCTAATAATCCAACTTACTTGTGGGTAATGATCCAACTTACTTGCGGGCCTCACTGTGTTTGGTTGATAAGCCTAAGCCCAAGCCTCAGCCAAACAAGCTATCCGATAAGACCTTGGTATGTTTAAAATGGCATCAATCTTAACCGCCCCTAAATGCCAAATAACATTACAGTACAATCTTTTAATTTTCAAAAAGAAAAAAAAGTCAAGACTAAAAATGGGCTAATTACCATCTTACCCTTCTTCCTCCTCTCTCTCTCTCTCTCTTGCTTCCATTTTTCTCCTTCCTTCCTTCCCGCACGCACGCACGCACCTACCCTCCTCCGCCATCGATCGTGCTCCGATCTGCGCCGCCGAGCCGGACCTCCGCGCGGCGACGGCGGCGGCTTTCCGGCCGGCGAGAGGGCCCTCGTGGGCGGCACGTCGTGGACCACGGCCCCCGCCCAGCGTTAGCCCCTTCCCCCCTGCGCTCGCTGGGTCCTTTGCTCGATCGCTTCTCGATTCCCCGGGTCGCCTGCGTCGATCTCCATCCCGCGGGGACGAGCAGCTGCGCCGGCATCCGCTGCTTCCGACGCATCCTCGCTTCGCTGGTGAGCATCCAATCCGTTTTTTTACCCCGCACTTGTCGAATTTGCGTTAGCCCTAGCTTGTCTGGTAGATCTGGAATCCGCTTTTCTCTTCGCCTTTTGCGTTAACCCTAGTACGTACTGATACCAGTTTAGTTTTGATCCCAGGAAAATTTGGTGGGCCCTGAAGAAAGTAGTGAATTCTGATTGGATTGGTTGATTTCTGGTTCATCCATCCTAAATGTGGTTTGCATTTTCAGGGAGATATGTGTTTGTCATGCTCAAAATGAGGTGGTAAGGGGATAATCTACATGCAATGCTGGGTGGTAAAAAGGTTCACTCTAGGAGAGATTGGTTTAAACCATTGCTTCAATGAACATCATACTAGAACTCAACCATCTCAAGCAGGTCAGCTTGCCGACGCGGCCTGTCGTTTGCAAAGGCCTTTTTATAGTGATTGCGCTTATTGTGCTGAGGGCAATCGTATCCCCGTTTCTCGCCGTTAACCCGTCCGAGAAGGAGGGTTTTTACGATCCGACAGCCGATTTGCTGCCTGGGATTAGGCGAGGCAAGTTCATTGAGGTTCCACAGATTATATGGGGATTGAACAATCAGAAGATTGCGTTTGCCAGGGCGTGCTTGACTGCGAGATTCCTGAACCGGTCTCTGCTCATGCCTAGTTTGAGTGCTTCGCTTTTCTACAAAGAGGTTGACTTGCTGCGACCAATCACTTTCGACAAGGTGTTTGACTTTACCAAGTTCAACGCCCGTTGCCAGGGGTTCGTAAGGTTAGCTCGCTATTCAGAAGTTTCTAATCAAACCAAGCCTTTCAAACTCCAAAAGGGAAGTGGTAGGAGGTGGACCGTGGAGAAAGACTTGGATCAGCTACTACAGTACAGAAGGGGTGAGGCAGATGACTCTGAAGTCATTGAAATCATCGGGAAACATCCATTTTTGTGGCCTGATCACTGGCCAGTGAAAGACTATGCCAGAATTTTCGATTGCCTTGCGTTAGTTCCGGAGATAGAAACTGAAGTGGTTAAGGCCATATCCAAGATTAGAGAGGCAGGCATAAAAGCAAGACATGAGGCTGGTATTTCTCATAATAAGCACGTGAAAGATGGTACAATGAATCCACCAGTGCCATACATTGCCGTCCACATGAGAATAGAAAAGGATTGGATGATCCATTGCAAGAAATGGGAGCAGCGTTCCAATTCAAAGGAAATTTGCAGCAGTAAAGAAGAGATCATTCATAAGGTCTCACAGATCACTGATCTACGTAGGCCAGTTGTGGTTTATCTTGCAGTAGCTGACAGCCTTCTAGAAGATGATTCAATAACTAGCGGTTGGAGGGTGGGTATGGTTGCTTTTGAGAAGAAGAGACTTGGAGTTACTGACATCTACAATAGGCAACCTTATCTTATAAAGTCCGCTATTGACTTTGAGGTATGTGCGAGAGCGGATGTGTTTGTAGGCAATAGCTTCTCAACATTTTCCAACCTTGTGGTGCTGTCAAGAACACAAAGGCTATATAACATGGGAGAGGCAAGCTCATGTGGAGAGAATGTCGGGCTTTCATCCTATGCCTACAATGTTATTGGAGACGATGGCGGGCCACAGAGATGGATGACAGATATGTCAGACACAAGCCTCCAAAACTTGAGTTACGGAACGAACAATATCTCATGCCACTGACTTATGACATAAAACACTTGACTGAACACGATCACACACACAAGGATAATTCTTGGGAGAATTTTAGCTACAAACAGAGGAACATGTTAGAAGGTTGATATTGGCTGCCACACTTGAGAGAGACTTTGGCCAAGAATTGTCTGCAGACCTTTGTGAGTGTATACAAAAACTGTTCTCTGAAGAACATTGACTTGTATTGAACAGTCTTTAGTTTGTAAAGTTAAATGTTGTGTGTTACTTTGTCTTCCTCCGTAACTTTTAATGTTATGGTTTCAAAAGAGCAGCTTCATACTGGAATTTGATGGTGTCACTTTTCGCACGCATTTGCATGAGGTGTATTTATTTGTTTGCAGTGTTCCGACTTAACAAACTCTTGATCACGAGTACTGTGATAGCTTCCCTGAAATATTCTCTTTGGGTTAGTATTGTCTCAACACAACTTAGTTGAAATCTTACTGTGGTAAGAAAGAGGGCTGGTTGATCCAGATTGATTTAACTTTGAAAATGAGCAATATTCGGTGTTACAGAAGAAAAAACTTATTTTGGCCCATTTTCATCAAGGATAATTTAGAATTGAGAAGAGACGAGTTGGAACTTGGAACTCGAACAATAGTCTACCACTGATACTTCAGGTTTAACTGTAGTCTATCATCTTAAAGAGAAGGGGCATTTTGTTTATTTGATCAGACAAAGTATCAGAATGGCATGATCGAGCTGTTCTTCCAGTGATTCTAGCGTGAATTTCTGTAGATGTTTTTTTGTAACATAAATTAATAAAACTTGCATGTCGAACCTTTTTTTTTACTTGAATTGCATGTTGAAACCTGATGTATATATTTATACATTTTGGGATCTTTCCCTCTTCTTTTTTTTTTTTACTGAAACAGGCCTTCAGAAAAGGAGATGAACAAACAGCATTTCACTGTACATAAGCTTACAAAGTTTGCTCCCGAGTTACAACTTACAGCATCAGCAATGACAGAAAATGAGCGAAGTGAAATGAAGTTACAGCTGCTACTAGATTGAGTGAGAAGAACAATGGCAGGTACAATTCCAAGAATTGCCATAGGCTATCTACCTACTTAGAACAGCCAGTGCTTCTTTCTGGTCTTGCGATTTGGAAGATCTGAAAGTGAAGAATATATTATGAGCATGAGGGAACTAATCATTAATGCAGAATTATCCCAGCAGAAATTGCTGAAATACATGGATAGTAGATACCAACTAGCAGAATAACCACACCATTATTTTTTTCCCTTCAAAATAACACACGAGTAGTGCGTGTGCGCAATGAAAAACGAATAGAAGAATAGAAATGTTTTGTGAAAATAGCAAGTAGGGAACCTTTCTTGCCCGAAGAGAAAGAAGGTACAGATCACAGAAAACAACACTCACCTTCAGTTGCATACAAGGAATTGTAGTGCACCTCACTCCAGAAGCTTAACCAAAGCTCTGCAGAAGGAACCAAGGGAATGATCAAACACCAAAAATATATATTGGGATTTACATTTACCAACCCATGCGGATACTGCGTACATGGATTTAGTTTGCTAAAAGCAGGCAAAGATTTACAGAATGAAGGATATCACAAGTATTGAATAATATAAAAAACATCATGACAACACAAAATAGAAAATGTGACCTCAAAGTTCTCAAAGATCTCAAACAAGATATCAAAGTTCTCAACTCTAACCTTTTGTGGGAGTGGCACCTCTGGGGACTATCTCGATTAGGCATGTGTCTCTAAATGATGTCAGCAGGCAAATCTTGGCAGCAAACTAATTTAACAGATAAAACCGTGTTAGTACATGATGCCTACTAATATTATAACAATGGAGTACTGGCAACTTGTTATTGTCAAGGAACATGATTTTGAAAACATGTTATTTGAAATTTCAAAATTTAGAGAGAAATGTGAATTGCAGGCTTAGGGATTGCTTAATCATCAGGAGTATAATCAACTAAATATGAAAAACATGGTGTTGAGCTGTTCATTGAGAATTTGAGAAGAACGGAGATGATAGGAGATGGCACTTGTATCTTTTACTCAACAAGAATGGAACAGTAACGTAAATGTTTTCAGAAAGATCACTATACTATAGACACAAGGAACCAATAATGGAAAAAAAGAACCCCATCATCCAATTCCACTTAGAAAATTATAGCACAGGTTCCTCTAAAAATAATAGCTATAAAATAAACAAACAATTTTTTTTAGAACAATATATTGTTAGGTTACAACTTGACAGAGTTTTGTGAACAAGAAAGCATCGGATTAAACTATCGTTAGAACTAAGTCACAAGATAAATAATGTCAAAACCTACAGTTAGAAGGTATTTTCTCATAACAAACCAATCAGCCATCTTGAAAGTGCTATGTTACCCGGTCTGCAGCCGCTTGTAAGGTCACATGATCTCCCCATTCTCCAGATCTACAATTGCGTAAATAAAATGCTTTAAATAAGGACATAAACAGCAAGTTAAAAGTTTTACATGACAGGTGTGTTGTTGTTAAGAACTAGAACCTTTTCATTTTCTTCAAGTACACCTTATATTCCATCGGTACATAGCCTTCATAGTGTTTCCTGAATTCCTTTAGCTAAACCAGAGAGATAGTAATTCAGCATAGAACATATCAAGAAACTAGATTGATGATGTAACTAAGTTAGAGACTTCTTTATTTGCAAAACAAACAAGTTTTGCTAAGGAATTAGTGAAAGAGTTATGGAACTACCTGCTTCACGACTGACTTCCTCACATGTTTGTGATAGTCAGGATTGCGGAATATCTGATCTGCCAAAGCTCGGAACTGTAAGGGGAAAACACATGACAGAAATAAGGACTGGTTGGAGACACACATCGAAAACTTGACCTTGCAGATGAACTGAAATAGGATCATAACACTCTTTTGAAAGAGGACATTATGGAAATATATCACGCAAGTTTATACAGGAAAGGAGATGTGCTAGATTATTATAGTAACTAAATTCAGAATAAATCCAAATAATATAATTTGCCGAGAATATCATATTATACAGTCAATAATGAGATAGATGACTTCTCCAAATGTAGTAGAAATGCCTTTTAAATAGTTTTTTTAAATTATACCTATGGTAATTATACAAGCAAGTAAAAAAATAGTAACCTGACAATTTCCGTCTCCTTCAATTTGGAATTCAGCTAAGCCATAAGTGCCCAATCTGAGAAAAAAAAAAGAAAGTCAGGTAAATGAAGGAGACATGAATCAGGGAAAAAGTAAAGAAAACAACACAAATACCTTTCCAGTAATGTTTCATGGTCTATTGTTGCATTATTAACATCAGGAATTTGCCCATTAACTCGAGGAGTGTGCTGCCAATGAATATATCAGTAACTTGGTACAGGGGAATTAGCACAGTAGCACTATAACTTGCAGAGTAATCATGGAGGTTATATGGAGCATATATCAAAAATAGTATGTTCGTTACTAGGCAAGTTCTCATGCTAGATAGCTAAATAGCCGAATAACTCCCGTCAAAGACACCAAAACTATCAAAAAAGACATATTCAAAAAAATAGACTAGTACCGGGATAGAATCTAAGTGGGAAAGGCGTTTTCCAAGACTCCGTCCACTGTTCTTTGCTTCAGTTAAAAGGGTACCAACTGTCACATCCTCCTCACTCTCCTGAGTACTGGTGCTAAGACTTGAGCAAGAACTTTTGCTAGCATGATCCTGTTGTTCAGACATGCTACCTCAGAGGGAGCATTGAAAATATATGGATTGGCTGCAGGTTCCAAAGGAAAGAATCAGTGCTGCAATATAAAAAAAAATCAACAGTTAAGAGCATACATTTGCATAATAACATGGACAGTAAGTACAATATTAAAGAAACTGATGGCAAGTACTCCTAGCAAACAGCAAAGTGTTCAGACACAACACTGAATGGCTTCTATGCTGGAATTACCTACCTAAATATTCTAATATCAACATTGGAGCATACATATTACACAGCTGCTAGCTCAAAAAAAAAAACATATTACACATCTGGCTCCACCAGATGATTTCTTGTATCCAGCATATTTGTTGCAAAATAAACTCGCTGAGCTACAAATGCCATTGATTGTCTCATTGGTATAAACCAGTAAGGACACGCAAAGAACTGAAGTAGTAGAAACGATGCACCAGAATGCCAGATGATAAGGCAACTAATTTCCAAGAAAACGAGACAATTGTCAACTGGGTAACTGGAAGGCCCGTTCCTCACACGGCAACACTACTAATCAAACGAGATAAATCTGATATTTTCAGAGAAGCAAAAATTTCACACGCCTCCTTGCACTACCGATTTACTGGAGGAAACTACGAACTCTCTGAACAATACCCAAGCTTTAGCTAACCGTCCAAGAATTATACCACACAAAAACTGTACCAATGAAGCCATGGATCTGAGCTTGCAACTTGGAACGGACTCCCTGACCGGACAAAAAGGACACCCACAAAATTACCATTTTTCCGGGAACTACAAGGCAAAAAAAGTTGTACAGATGATGGGTAGACCTAACATTGGAGCATGGGAGTTCAACTGAATCCCCAATTTTTTTCTTTTTAACAGAAACTGCTAGTTCTGCTACAAATACAAGAACAAGCACGCATCAAAGAAATCCAGAAAACTAGAAGGGTTAACTGAAAGGAACCAACCAATCCAACTTCAGGTGGCTATCCCGCACCTTGCTGGTTCTTGCCGGCCGCGCGCGGGAGGAGGAGGAGCTCTGGCTCGCGCAGCAGCAGATCGGCAGCAGAGAGGAGAGGAGAGGAGCGCGATGGAGAAGAAGATGCGGGAAAGAAAGAAAGAAAGAAAGAAAGAAGCAAAGCAAGGCAACAGAAGAAAATGGAGGGGAAGGAGGGCATTTTGGTCATTTTACCTTTTTTTTTTAACTATTCTCCTAATGTACTTCTAGGAGTGTTTGACTGGTTGCAAGTTGTATAACTTGCACTCCAAATGTCAAATTTGGTGATCCATCAGTAGAGTCAAAGCAACAATTTTGCAAGGGCTATAGCTTTGCATTGGGATTTTTATTTTTATTTTTTCGGGGATATGCAAAGTGCTTTTTCTTTAATTAAGATTAGAAAAAAAAGTGATTCTACAGAACAAAGTATGTAAAAAAAGAGAAAAGGAGGATGGTAGATTAGGAAGGCCGATTATCTCACAAAACATTATGTAACGAAGGAGCGCTCCATCTAGATGGACACCTTGCTTCACGTCAGAGGGCGGCTTCTATTGTCACCATCTCTCCTACTTCCTGCATTATTTCGCACTTGCCATTAAAAGATATACTTCCTCCGTAAAAAAAAAACTCAACCTAAAAGGGATGTGAATAAATGGTAGTCCAGATTCATTGTACTAGGATGGGCATCCCATCGTGGTTGAGTTTTTTTAGATGAAGGGAGTAGTTGTTTCGTTTCTTCCTGCTACTTTCTGCATTGTTCTAGAGGGAAGATTTTTATTTGTTTTGTTTTTTAAGAAGGACCTGCATTTCTTTTCCCTGTAAAATCATGGTATTTTTTTTATATTTGGAGTAACTGTATATTTGTACGCATGCCATGTGTGTTGCGTGTGATTGACAATGTTCCATGTGGTTCATTTCCAAGATTTGTTTCGAACCAACTTGCAGGTAGCCACAGGATTTCACATCAGCCAGAGAGGTATTTTGATTAAGGATTCTTGATGCTAATGCTTTTAGGACACTTCAGAGAAACACACTGTGTTTGGTCTCAAGCTGCACGAACATGGCTAAATTATGAAAAGCATCCACGTTTTCATTTTTTTTTAAACAAAAGAAAACGATTGAATCACAATTCACAACCAAATGGAGAGGAAAGAAAATCTAAAATCAGTACCGGTGCACACTGAACAGAATCTCTATCTTCTTTTTTGCAGCATCGAAGAAGGACTACTACTAATTATTTGTAGTTAAGAGTGTACTAATACCAAACAGCATGTGTTCTATTGTAGAGGCATCTCTCATTTAATATTTACTCTTCAAGAGCAACAACCAGCCAGTTGAAAAAGGCATTAGATGATGAAATGCAGACATGATATGATCATGTGAACAAAGAATGGGAGAAATTGTTCACCACTGATGGGAAAGAAAGCCTTTTTTACTGCACTGTAGGGTGCAAAATTACTCCCTCTTTGATCCATCAAAAGCCAAATTTACATCAAATTTGAATTGCAATCAAAGCATGTGTACAACTTGATTTCTGGTTGTAATTTCTTTCTGTACCACAAAATCTGTTATAATACACCTGAGTTTGCTCAAGGAATGGAGAATTGGAGACCATCACTATGTTTTCTTCATATTACAGAAGGGATTGAACAGAAGGATGATCAGAGCTTCCTTGAGATTTCTATCAGGGTGTTGATCAATCTACAGCCTTGGCAGTGCTGAACAGTTATGAATGCTGCCTTATGCTGATTAGCTCGATGTCGAAGATGAGTGTACCGAGAGTGGAACCCTCGCCATTTGCCAGACGTGTTGGGTTAAATATAGTAGTAAATAATCTCTGCCGATCAAAGAACTGCACACGAAGCAGCAGAGAAAAGTTTAGTTTTTTTTTTCCATAGCCTTCTCAGTTAATCCTTCAATCGTAGATAAAGAATTAAAATATGAACGTTCATATGTCTGCGACTCTGCATTATTAAGGAAAAAAGGGACAACTTCTAGGTTAGTTTTGACTATTTGACAAGTCCAACTAATAAAGAACATGTAGAAATTGCCTAAACTGGGAAAGCTTTAATTAGTTAAGCAAAGGTGGCCCAGAATAGAAAATAGAAATCCAGGATTCTTGATAGCACGAGACTTTGTTAGAACAATACTTACATTAGGAGGAATGGGTTCTTGTGATGTGTTCTGATATCCCTGTGACGGTGGAATGATGACACGGCGAAGACCACCAACTCTCATGGACTTCACTGCTGCTTCAATACCAGGTATAACCTGCAAATCTCATGCATAAGATCTAGGCAAATCATCACCACCCTGAAACATTACAAAACAAACATCCCAAGAAACATACCGGAGGGATGACAGATAAAAGGGAGACATTGACCAAGTTGACAATACCATAAAAAAAATCGCAAGGAGCATCTAGAATCTTAAGAACAGATGGTTTTAATGGGCTGTTAAGTGAGTTTTACAAATAATATGAACTGATAATAGACCCCAAATCAGGATATAAATTACCATCCTAAAATCAAACCTACGCACATCATAGCCTCATAGGATGATGTAGTTTCTCTTCTTTGTTACTTCGCCACTGGATTTTTTTTCTGCATATGAAAGCATGAACCTCTTCTACTTCACTGATAACATGCGTGCACTTGTGAGTTGTGAGTCAATTACACTATTTTAAAGTACCGAAGTTAAATAATGAGAAAATATATCAGTTGTCTGAATAATTGACGTTTCAGGAATTCCTTTGACACTGCTCCCACGTCATGTTACTTTTTTATGAACAAGGTAATATCAAAATATTGTAACTGCAAATTTCAGCAAGCAACTTCACATTGGAAGTATTCAAGATATGGCATATAAAATTGCAGACTGTAGTGTAGTATCAGCAATCTATGCGATTCAATTCTTTGGAAAGGAAGTTCTGATGAAAATCTCGTGAGTTGTGACATTATCTCACATTTCCAGCTCCGACGGTGAATACAAACGGCATCGGATCACCGGTCTCGTCCTTGTGATCATAGGTGGAATCAAAGCGCCATCCTTGCTTCGCTGCCAATCTTCCATAGTAATGGATTGCAACCTTCATAGTTCATATATACAAGTACACATAAGAAACTTCCTTACATATTTTTCACAAAAAAAAATAAATTATCTGAATTTCAACCACACATTCAGACAGATCCAAACATACTGGAAATACCATCACATTAGAGGAAGAGATTCATCATAAGAAGCGAATTGAATCCATTAATACCATGATTATCTCACTGCCAAGTACTCCTACTAGGTATGCATTTCCAAGGTCTCCAGCCTCTCCACTAGCACTAGGTTAATCACTTTATTTTGCGCAGAAAGGCGCCGGCTTTACCTGGTCGCCGTCGGCCGGGACCTCGCCGGGACCCTCCCGGAGGTCTAGGGCCTTCACGCCGCCGGAGCCGGGGATCTCGGCGAAGCTAGGGGCGGCGGCGGCAGAGGCAGAGGCCGCGGCCGCGGCCGCGGGCAGTGTGGAGGCAGCAGAGGCGAGGAGGAGGTGCCTTCTTGGGATGGTCGGGGCATGCGCTTCGGCTACGGCGAAAGCTTGGGCTTTTTGAGGCGGCGGCACGACGCCGGCGGCCGGAGCGACGGCGGCGGACAGACTGACCATGGAGGGTCGTTGGTTTTTGCAAATCTTTTTTTTCCCTAGTTTTTTTTTCGTTATTAATTCTTAGGCTATCTTCAAAATGGTGCTTTTTTTAAAAAAAAAAGTTTCTACATAGACTTACCGAGGTTTCCCCTCCTCTCCTCTGGATACAAATTTAGCTTCATTTTGGTTTGACGTCCCTACTAGGCCTAGGAGACATTTGAAGCGCACGTTGAGAAAAAAAAAAGACAGTCAAGAATAGGTATGAATTGAGAAAAAAAAATAAGTATTGACAAGCGCTCAATTCTAAGAAATTACATCAATAAATGGTGAGCTTCATGCAATGTCATTGTACAAGTGACTTTGTTGTAAAAATATCTTCGCCGCTAGGGTTTCGTTAGCAGTGCACCGTTAAGTGCGGTAGGATGAACAATACATTTAACGATAGCAGGATGGATCAAACCCTAATAATGATAGCATTTATAGGATAAAAATCGTTTATACAATGATATTTCGTGGAACCCGCACCTATTGATGATATTTCTTGGACTTTGGTAATGATATTTCTTGAATTTTCTCTTATAGAGATATAAGTAATCTCTCCATCTCAAAATATAACCACTTCTAACATTCAAAATTTATCCTAAAATATAATTATTTATCCCCCCTATATCTTCTCCCAACTAATCACAACCTTTCACCATTTAAATTCTTTATTAACTTTCTCTTCTCAATTAATCACAATCTTATTCCATTTAATTCTACCTATAAACAATATGAAAAACAAAAAACACATGAATAATGACTATTAGAATCCCAGTCTTTTTTTTCAAGGGACCAAATAAAACAAATTTCCACTAGAATTTAAATCCTGTAATTTTTCTATATTTTCCCTACAAATCAAAGGTCCGTAAGCTTTTTGCAAGTGGTATATAAGCTCTCTTTGTATTTTCATGTATGTTTTGATGTATCAAGCTCATAATGAATTTTAACATACATTTGACCTCATACATTCACTTAAATATATGTTGAGCTAAACCATATAAATTACCACATGTGCATACTAGTAGGGTCCGTTTGAAAGCTAGTTTAGCTTTTGCTTCTTTTTTTTTTCACACGCCAAACAAGAAATACTATTAGTGTATTATTAATTAAATATTACTGTATTAACGATTACAAACTTGAGAAATAGGTTTTTTTTTGTTTTTTGTCTAAAAAAATTTCTACATACAAAGTTCTCTTTTAATAAAATGTATTATTTAGTAGCTTAGGAAGCTGCTTACAGTAAAAGGGTGTTGAAAAGGCGAATCGAGCAAACAAATACAACCTCACATGTTACACGTAGCAAACCGAATATCATATAAAGAGCTATAACTATTGTTTCAACTCCCATGTAAAGCTTTTAGAAAATAAAATCCAATGTAAAATCTAAATTTATCCATTGTTAACATAGGCTGTATTTAATTCCCTTCAAACTTTCAAAAATTTCGTCACATCAAATATTTGTGGACGAAAAAAACCAATTGCACAGTTTGTATGTAAATTGTGAGACGAATCTTTTGAGCCTAATTACACCATAATTTGACAATGTGGTGCTACAATAAACATTTGCTAATGACGGATTAATTAGACTTAATAGATCCGTCTCGCAGTTTACATGCGTAATCTGTAACTTGTTTTTCTCATTAGTCTATATTTAATACTTAAAATATGTGTCCGCATACGTCAAAAATATTTTGGCCAACAACTAAACACGGCCATAGACCTTAAAAAAAGTGCTAATAAGCCACAAGTAAATCTGGCTCCCTCCAATCTCTCATCTCCTTCTCCCTGTGCTTCAGCTGCAGTAGCATACAGGAACTTGTTAAGCTGCGGTTGGCCAATCCGGACGTCTCACATTATCCTCATCCATCCCAACACCCAACCCAAGACAGCATAAACACACCCCAGCCCAGCTCGACTAGAATACGAGAGAAAAATCCCATCTTTGGTCTCCTCCCCCTCCCTCTCGCTCGCATCTTCCCCGGAGATGCCGCCGCCGCCGAGATGCGCCGCCACCACCGCCCACCACTCCCTCCTCGGCTCGCCCACCTGCCTCGCGCGCCCGCGGCGGCGGTGCTGCCCCGTGCGCGCCGCCGTCGCCGTCCAGGCCGAGGCGCAGGCCAAGGTCTCGCTCATCCGGATTGGCACCCGCGGGAGGTGATCGCAATCGATCCAACCCTTTTTTTTTCTTCTCCTTCTCTAATTCTGGGTGCTGCTCGTGTGGATAAGCGGTAAAATTCGCGTATTTTAGGTGCTGAATTGGTTTGGATTTGGGGTCGCGGTGGCTGCGAGATCTTGTTTTCCTCTGGGAATTTGGGTGTTTGAGATGTGGCTCTGACCCAATTGCGTCGTTAGATGTCAGGCATTGCGAGCACTGGTAGAATTCAGGTATAGAGAATTGAGGCCGTTTACCAAGATATGTGCCTTTAGCTTCGTTTTGATGGAATTTTGGATCAGTGATAACATGCCATTGTTAACATTAGTAGTGCTAAAGAATAGACTTTTGTTCAGTTGGCAAAAGTTGGACTTTTAGATGTTTCCCGTACGATTGTTGGTCAACACGACAGGTTGTATTGTTCTTGCGCTTTATGAGCTAGCTGGAAGTTACATGTGATTCTTTGCACGATTCTAGACATTAGATGCTTTTTTTTTCTGATTTTAACTTGGATCTCGTGTAAATTTTGCATCCACATTAAACTCTTATGAGGAATTCACAAGAATTGTTATGGTTGCTCTCTTTTCAATATTGACTTGAAAGTGACTTTATGGTTGCGAAAAAGGGACTTTCTTTCTTTTCTTTGTTTTTAACAATTTTTTCTTGTGATAGAGTAGCTTATTTGAGATATGCAAGTATGTAATTCAAATTATTGGCTGTATAGGACAGTCCTCTTGCACTGGCACAAGCTCATGAAACCCGAGACAAGCTGAAGGCTGCACACTCAGAGTTAGCCGAGGAGGGGGCCGTTGAGATTGTCATCATTAAGACCACAGGAGACATGATCTTGGACAAACCCCTGGCAGATATAGGTGGCAAGGGTTTATTCACCAAGGAGATCGATGATGCACTTTTGCAGGGAAGGATTGACATTGCCGTCCACTCGATGAAAGATGTTCCAACATATTTACCAGAAGGCACGATATTGCCTTGTAATCTCCCACGGGAAGATGTGAGAGATGCATTCATATGCTTGACTGCAAGTTCCCTTGCGGAGCTTCCTGCTGGCAGTGTTGTTGGAAGTGCTTCTCTGCGTAGACAATCTCAAATTCTCTACAAATATCCATCACTCAAAGTAAGTACAATGACCACTTTAATGACAGTTACAGTATGCGTTGTAGATTTCTATTGTGAAAGGGTGGTGTTCCATTTCAACTTCGTAAAAATATGACTAGTTCAGGATATGCAATGCTAGATTCACATTGGTTAATGTAGGTCTAGGTTCTAATGTTAGTGAATGCTTTTCAGGTTGTTAACTTCAGAGGAAATGTTCAAACACGATTGAGGAAACTCAAAGAAGGAGATGTCCATGCTACATTGTTGGCTCTAGCTGGACTAAAACGCTTAAACATGGCAGAAACTGCGACATCTGTATTGTCAGTGGACGAAATGCTTCCAGCAGTTGCTCAAGGTGCTATTGGAATAGCTTGCAGAAGCAGTGATGACACAATGGTAGGGATCTAATGTTTTAATTTGCTAGTAGATTAAAGAAAATCATAGAGTCTGCATTCATAATGCCATACCCAAATCTGAACTGTGCTACCTTTTAATTCTGGTAAGGTGACAAGTTCAAGCACCTCTAGCCTTTTTTTTTCTTCTGTTCTCAGCTGTGGCACATCATGCTGTTAAAAAATGACAGATGATTGTTCACAAATCTGATGACCTTGTCAACCAACGCTTCACATTTTCATTTACCTACTCCAGCCTTGATCCATTTGTTTGTTGCTCTTTATCCTGATCATGCTGCATATTTTGAATATTTTAACACCTGATAGACTCAAAAATAAAATCTATTAGAATATTCTTAATGCCTGGCCTCCTGTACAGCTATGCAGAATGTGCCAACTGCTTGCATGATCTGTTTCATTTTTATGCACTGAAGCTAGATAATGAGGCTCTTTTGTCCTTCCTTCTGCAGATGAATTACTTGTCCTCATTGAACCATGAAGATACCAGATTAGCTGTTGCATGTGAAAGAGAATTCTTGTCAGTTCTTGATGGCAACTGCCGAACTCCAATTGCGGCATATGCTTCTCGTGACAAGGATGGGAATTGTTCATTCCGAGGGCTATTGGCTTCACCTGATGGATCTACAGGTACCCTTTTTTGTTCAATAAAATCTATGATGATACAAAACAGCTATATTTTATCATGGAATTAAAATGTTTTCTTTTTTTTGGTGTGTGATGCTGCTTACAGTATATGAGACTTCGAGAACTGGACCTTATGATTTCGATATCATGGTTGAGATGGGTAAAGATGCTGGCCACGAGCTGAAAGCAAAGGCTGGCCCTGGCTTCTTTGATAGCTTGCAATGAAAATAGAAATCCACCATTGGCCAACTAGAGTGTTGAGTGGATTATTTTGATTTTTTTTTGTACCCTAGTTCTACTAGAGGATTGTACCACAATGTTGAGCTGTCTCATTCAGATCTGTATCTTTGCTTCTTTTAGCAAGGTGAGCTAGAATTTAGAACGTGGTTCCACGGTTATTGTAATCCCTTGTATTTCCAATGAATTCTGGAAGAGGCTTTTGCGGCCAATTATGTTGTAACTTTGTAATTTGATGTAATTTTGCAGATGCTTTGTTTTCAAAATAATTTGATTCTGAAATTGTTGATTGTTGTACTTTAGTCATAAGTCTGGTTTAACATACAATCTGTCAACCAGAGCTGAACGCAATGCTTCCTGATACATAGCACTCAGATGAAATATAGCATATGTTTAGAATATTTGAACAACATATTAAGGGATGATAGTGTTTTCCCCCAAAACATTACAACACGTCAAGTAGAGCGTACAGTCTGGATCACTGTTCAAACATTACAGGTTACTGACATACTAGTACAGAGTAACCGATGCAGGTTCAGAGTCCTAAGCTAAAATTACTCAAAAACAGTACTAGAACATTTGATGCGAATTTTCTTGCATGTAACATAAGCCTGGTCACCGGAAGCAGAGTATCCGGCATTCAAATTCTCACAGCTACTAATCTCTGATTCAGTTGGGACTTGACACTGAAATAGTAGATTGCTTGCTAGATTGGTTGATAGTCAGGATGGTTCAGCTGATGGAAACTACTGAATAGCTAGTAGCTTTTTTGTTACAAATGCTGCAGTCATATCATGTGAAATTGCAGCTTCATCATGTCATGAATCTCTGTTAACTGCTCTGATTCTGCATTGCGGACATGTAAGCCATCTCTTCAGCGGTCACTGGCTTGTGCATCTGGATGAACAGAAAGGCAAAAACTCTAGTTAGACAATCGTCCTTTCAGAAAATAATTACGATGTCCTATTACGTATTACCATGTCAAATGAAAGGAAGATTGGCAAAACAAATTAACAACATGTTCATCAAATGTAAGACAAGCAGAAGAAGGCGTTCGTGAAAAAAACGAAGAATTAAATTTTACAGAAAAGAATCAAACATCACTGCATCTTTTTGTTTAAAAAAAAAGTGAGGCATTGGATAATGAAGGAGGCCAGCATGTCATTATTTAGACAAGATTGAGAAGAATGCAACTTGAAAGATGAAACTACTGGTGATATATAGAGCATCAAACGAACAAACTTCACCAATTATTTCTGTTATGTCCCTAGCTTAGGTGGTTTGCGTAATCCACCGAAAAATTGAGTAGCATACACAAGCACAACAACAAAGCGCACGAACTGAAGAAATGATCAACAAATCCTGTAAAAAAGAAAAAAACTTACAGCATTAGCAACGGTTAGCAAATGAAAGCACCGCGGTAGGGGATCCTCTGCCGATGGTGTGGTATCATGATTCCAATATGTTATGTTTTGAAACTCCGCACGGGATTTGAAATTGCTAACCTCCCCCTCCAGCTTCTTCATATCCTTTCCTCCACTCCTCTTCTCCAATACATAACCTACACAAGAATTGGTAGAATCACCACGAACTTGATCAATACATAACCTGCACACACTCGGTTCAACTTACACTTGCTACTACAGATCATCATGTCATTACTAGATGTGCCTAGATGTGTAAATTACTTGGTACAATACCAAAATCTGGTTCTGTTTTTTTTTCTAAAAAAAATCCAATCGTTGCTGCTGATTCGTAATTTGACGCACATTTATATGAATCGATTTTAAAAAATGAATCAAACCAATGCAAGAAACACACCTCGGTAGCCATCCGGGAGCGAGATGGTGGCGCCCTGCAGCTTCCTCCCGCGGAAGAAGGCCTCCTCCACCCTAATCCCCTCCACCTCCACACCTGCGCGCATCGATTCCTCAACCAAACGGCCACCACCAAGAAGAGAAAGACTGAGAGATGTTTGCGGCGAGGCACTGACTGACCTGTGTCCTTGGGCTTGAAGTAGTCGGAGACGGCGGCGGCGCCGTTCTGCTTGATGCCGCAGGGGAGGAGGTGCACCCTGCCGAGGTCGGCGGCCGCCGTGGACAGGTCGACGGCGGCCGTGACGGCGGCGGCGGCGGCGGCTGGCTCCATGGCTCGTGGTTGCTGACTAGCTGTGGTCACACTGAGCTAATGGGCCAACTGGGCTTTTTTTTTCGCTATAAGCCCATCTAGGTGAACAAGTCTCTCTCTCTACATGGAGCATTGAACGTGTTACAGCGAAAATCCGAAAAATAAACAGCCTCATCTTTTCGCTTATCGCTTATGTTTATACTTATCGGCCAAAATTTAAATTTTTAACATCAAATTTAGAGTTGATTTTGAGGTTTTTTCATCTAAATTTAGAGTTGATATATGTGATGCCCTATATATCACCAGTAGTTTCATCTTTCAAGTTGCTCCATCATATTTTAAGTTTGTTTTTCAACCTTTGCTTTTTGCTTTTAGATCGATAAGAACACATATATAAAAGTTTTATTTACAAATTATTTTTTGTTAGCAAATATGCCCAAACGATGGAGCCAAAAGATAGGCCTCGTTGTTGAGAGTTCGAACGTGTTATCAGTTACTCCCTCTTTTTATGTTTTGATTTTTTTCCTTAGTCATAACTTATTAAAGTTTCATCGGGTTTATAGAAAAACATAGCAATATTTTTAACACAAAACAATCATACCATCAAAATATATTTTATGTTAGATTTAATGAAACTAATTTGATGTTATAGAGATTGCTAAATGTTTCTATAGACTTTGATCACACTTAAGAATGTTTGATTAGAAAAATAAAAGTCAAAACATTTTATAACATGAAGCAGAGGGAGTTTCACGCTGTTAAATGGAAGAAAACAGTCATGGTACAATTTCAGCTTATTTATATTCCACACCTATGTGTTCTTTTTACATTCTTGATGGGTCAATATGTCCTATCTATGTACATTTCATAGTAGCTGAATCACATGATCATACAATTCTCTCCAACTCATAAAGCTTCATACCAGCTAAGCTGTGTATCTTCTCTCCAGCTAAAAAATCCTCGTAGCAGGTGATTTGATAAATCCCCACATGATTTGGCCTCCTTAACCCACATCAAAGGAGTGTTTACTGCCAGGAGCACTGTGATATTCACAACTTCAAATTCTAGTTGCTGTCTACCAATCTTTCATTGCCGCTACAAAAGAACCAAATTACCAAGTCCATCTATGCATATCATGCAAGCTGGTGGAAAATATTGATTGATAGGAACAATGTAGATGATCAGTTTGTCCAGCTATCTGTCAGAGGAGATGGCTTCTTCTATTCTCCTGATAACAGTGCTAAGACTATGTCCACTTTCCAGTGCTTTGACGGCAGCTCTATGCGCTTTCTTGTGCCATTTCAAGAGGTTGTAAGATTGCATGACTGACCAACGAGCTCGGTTTGCCATCTGATAAGCAAATTGAGAAATATGTGTTTGACTACATCGGTTTCAATCAAGATGAGATAAAAGATTAAGAAACAGAGTGATACAAACCTGAGCAACAGAGAGTGGGGGATCCAGAAGAATGCACAAACTCCTGAACAGATTCTCGTCATTTTCTCCCCCTTCTGCCTCGCCATAAACGAGTGCTTCCGCGGCAATTCCAGCAAATAGAATCATACAATATCTGCAATTTAAGCATTCGAATTTAGCTTAGATGAGGAAGAAATTATATCGAAGAACTCCAAGTAACGACATTCAAGCACGATACCTATTTTCAGTACCTGTCAAATGCTGTGCTTGACAGATGGCCCTCAGCAAGTTCTTTTTCCATTTTTTCATCCCAGAACTGGGTCCCTGCCTGCAACGTTAGTATGAAACACCGCCACTTCAGTTCTAAGTAACATGTGAAGGTCTACATAATAATTAAACAGCATAGCTCAGATCCTTTGGAAATAAAATGGTTAGAATAGATAACCCATCTCTACAGGGCAAAGCAAAGAGAGAGTCTAATAATCTACTAACATGGTAGAATATCAATATATTTTCAGGACAACTTTAAAGCATAATCCAGACAGAATGAAACATACCACCTCATGACAACTCACTCTTGTTTATAAACATTCCCGGAGGTACAGAAAGCATGAAATGTGGATGGAATAGCTACTACTTACAAAATTAGCCATAGTCACTGATGGCAGGTTACTATTTATTAAAATCTGATAAAGTGGTAATGCCATGTAGCTTACACGCCTTACTTTACTTCTAATATTGAACTCAAATCCTAGAGCGAAAAAGGGAACTGTTGATTGCTCTGTCAATATGATGGATAATTAATCAAGGAGACCAAACTCTATTGCAGACCTTTGTAGCAATAAGGTAATATATGAAGTGCAAAAGGTGTAAGCCCACAAAACAAAGAGTAGCAGAATACAGAGACATGAGTGTTTAGCAGGTACAACTTTCTCATATCTGCCTGTGTGGATTTACACTTTCTCACGAAAGTGATAGCATGAGCTTTTATAATAGAAACGGCAAGTTACCGAGTGAAATCACCAGAACCACATCCCACTAAAAAAAATAAAGGGAAAAAAAATGAAAAAAGGCCCTGGAAATTAAGTGAAAGAAGTTACACTACTACATGTAGATAATTGACAAGAGAATAAAACAAATGTAATAGTTATCCCTATACAATAAAGGAAAACTACTGATAATTGTACCTGGCCTTGAATGCCCATTCGTAATGCCACAAATGGATCTAAAATGACTCCTCGTATGGGGCAACCCATTAGATAAGCTACGTGCATTCAAAGTGAGAAGTGTTAGGTCAACAGAATAGAATCTCATGAGTCAGAAATAATAAAAACCACATACAGGAAAACGAAAGAAGAAAGTACCAATCTAAAGTTTTGTGTTAGTCACATGAACTTGAGACAGAAGAGTGGAAAAGGTTCTAAAGGAGAATAATACCAGTAAGAAGATGGCCTGCTTCATGTACAAGGATCCGGCGCTTGTAAGGAGGCCAAAAACATGAGATTTGAGCAACACAGGTACCACCAAGAAACATTGCATCTGCTGCTACTAACCCCAATATGGCAGCCAAGTTAGCCCGTACATCTACTCCTTGATTTAGAAGATAAGATACACCTCCAAGAAATCCAATTAGAACATACGAAGAATTTCCTGAGAGACCCCACTTCTTTGGTGCGAGCTTTATAGCTGAGAAAAGTAATCAAAGAAAAAAAAATGAGAGCTCTACAGAATACAGCCACAGTTCATAATAGAAGAAAGAAAAGTCCCATGAAGCTGCTCTATCACATGCTGTAGTTGTGTTGCTAATGACTAATAAGGGGTATTGCAGTATGCATTTGTTAGGAAAAAGAAGTGTGGCAGTTCATTTAAGGACTCCAATCCAATACTGTCTGAAAAAACATCCATACGAAATGGGATGCTATTGCAACTCTCACCTTCCAAACCTGTCATCTCCTTCAAAACAGTTGGTGTGACTTCTCTTGGCCCTTCCAGAACTGCAACAAAAAAGAAATACATTCACGGTGGTCAGTGTAACTAACACCAATGCCAAAGAAAGTCTGAATTATATGGTATCTTATAACAAAAAAAATATCCATATAAACTCTAAATGCAAGTGAGATTGTGGGATCGAGTCTTCAATACAAGCACATCATATCATCAATTATCAATCTTAGGGTGCCATTCTACAACCATTTGCTCCCTCCATTTCATATTATAAATCGTTTTGACTTTTTCCCTAGTCAAACTAGTAAATTTGAACAAGTTTATAGAAAAAATTAGTAATACCTATAATACAGGAGATTTGAACTCAGAACCTTGGGGTACTACTCAGGTCACTATAACCACTAGGCTATATGCCCTTTCGTATATACAAAATTAGTTTTATGAAAACTAACATTTACATTTTGATGATATGTTTATTTTGTGTCGTAAATGTTGCCATATCTTTCTATAAACTTTGCCAGACTTAAAATTGACTAGAAAAAAAATAAAGCAACTTATAATATGAAACGGAGGGAGTAACAAACTGAATCCCGCACCCAAATTATCTCTTAAATTGCAACCAATTCACATTTTAGGACCCTCAAATCACGCACCAAAAATGACCAACAACAATGGAAAGCGAGGCCCCCGCGACTCGGGCTTACCGATGTTCTTGCACTTGCCGAAGTTGGCGAGGACCCCGCGGTCGGCGAGGAACTGGTAGGCCCGCCCCACGAGCCGCATGTCGTCGGCGTCGATGCAGGCGTCGAGCACCTCCCAGTCCCTCCCGGGGGGCACGGGGAGCGCCACCCGCGCCACGGCCGCGCCCGCCGCCGCCGCCGCCGGGGGAGTCTCGACGTCGACGGACTGCAGGAAGCGGAGCGCGCGGGGGAGGTCCCTGCTCCTCACGGCGTCCTCGAAGTCCCCCCACTCCTTGAGGGAGGAGCCCGCCCGTACGCGGAGGCGGAGGCGCCGGGAAGGCGGGGACCACCTGGAGGGGGAGGCGAGGGGAGGGGAGAAGGAGGCGGTGGTCGCCATTGGTGAGGGTGCGGAGGTGGGAGAGCTGCCGCCTGTGGCGGATTTGCGCCGCTTTCTGACCGACGAGATCACGTGACCACGACGATGGTTTACATGGGCCGGGCCGACAAACTTGGCCCTCGCTGGCCTTTTGGCCCATCTATTCGGAACATACTTGGGCCTTGAGTCCAACATAGTAGGAATAAGTTCACCAGAGGTACCTCAACTTAACAGCGAGATTTTTTAAGGTCCCTTAACCACAAAACCAGAAATCTCCACCCCTAAACTAAACAAAACCGTTCACTCAAGGTCCCTAGACAGTATATATGGGTGGTTTCGCTGACGTGGCATCCTAGTCAGAAAAAAAAATTAAACAAAACACGTGGAGCCCACATGTCAGCTGCATGCCTGCATATCTTGTTTTCATCTCTTTTCTTCTCCTTTCTCTCTTCTCTCTTCTCTTCTCCCTCCTCCTGCTGCTGCTACTCCCATCTCTGCCCCGGCCGTGGTACACGAGATCCGCCGCCGCCGCCGGAGTCCTCGTCGTCGCTGCCGGCTGGAGAGTGTGCTGTTGGGGGAGGTCGCGCCGGGCTCCTCGTCCTCCTCGCTGAAGCTGCCCCCCCTCGCCGTCGTCGTCTCCCCCGATGGGGTTGGCCAGTTCAC